TATGGGCTCTGTATGTTGTGATGGCTCTGTATGGGCTCTGTATGTTGTGATTGCTCTGTATGGGCTCTGTATGTTGTGATGGCTCTGTGTGGGCTCTGTATGTTTGTGATTGCTCTGTGTGGGCTCTGTATGTTGTGATTGCTCTGTATAGGCTCTGTATGTTGTGATTGCTCTGTGTGGGCTCTGTGTGTTGTGATTGCTCTGTATAGGCTCTGTATGTTGTGATGGCTCTGTATAGACTCTGTATGTTGTGATGGCTCTGTATGGGCTCTGTATGTTGTGATTGCTCTGTATAGGCTCTGTATGTTGTGATTGCTCTGTATGGCCTCTGTATGTTGTGATGGCTCTGTGTGGGCTCTGTATGTTGTGATGGCTCTGTATGGGTTCTCCATGTTGTGATGGCTCTGTATGGGCTCTGTATGTTGTGATGGCTCTGTGTGGGCTCTGTATGTTGTGATGGTTCCTGTGTGGGCTCTGTATGTTGTGATGGCTCTGTGTGGGCTCTGTATGTTGTGATGGCTCTGTATGGGCTCTGTATGTTGTGCCGGCTCTGTATGTTGTGATTGCTCTGTATAGGCTCTGTATGTTGTGATGGCTCTGTATGGGCTCTGTATGTTGTGATTGCTCTGTATGTTGTGATTGCTCTGTATGGGCTCTGTGTGTTTGTGATTGCTCTGTGTGTTGTGATTGCCTGTATGAGCTCTGTATGTTGTGATTGCTCTGTATAGGCTCTGTATGTTGTGATTGCTCTGTATGGCCTCTGTATGTTGTGATGGCTCTGTATGGGTTCCCAGAAGTATGTTGTGATGGCTCTGTATGGGCTCTGTATGTTGTGATGGCTCTGTGTGGGCTCTGTGGCTGTTGTGATGGTTCTGTGTGGCTCTGTATGTTGTGATGGCTCTGTGTGGGCTCCTGTGGTATGTTGTGATGGCTCTGTATGGGCTCTGTATGTTGTGCCGGCTCTGTATGTGTGTGATTGCTCTGTATAGGCTCTGTATGTTGTGATGGCTCTGTATGGGCTCTGTATGTTGTGATTGCTCTGTATGTTGTGATTGCTCTGTATGGGCTCTTGTGTGTTGTGATTGCTCTGTGTGTTGTGATTGCTCTGTATGAGCTCTGTATGTTGTGATTGCTCTGTATGGGCTCTGTATGTTGTGAATGCTCTGTATGGGCTCTGTATGTTGTGATTGCTCTGTATGGGCTCTGTATGTTGTGATTGCTCTGTATGGGCTCTGTATGTTGTGATTGCTCTGTATGGGCTCTGTATGTTGTGATTGCTCTGTATGTTGTGATTGCTCCAGTATGTTGTGATTGCTCTGTATGTTGTGATTGCTCTGTATGGGCTCTGTATGTTGTGATTGCTCTGTATGGGCTCTGTATGTTGTGATGGCTCTGTATAGGCTCTGTGTGTTGTGATGGCTCTGTATATGAGCTCTGTATGTTGTGATTGCTCTGTATAGGCTCTGTATGTTGTGATGGCTCTGTATGGGCTCTGTATGTTGTGATGGCTCTCCATGATGTGATGGCTCTGTGCACACTCTGTATGTTGTGATGGCTCTGTATGAGCTCTGTATGTTGTGATTGCTCTGTATAGGCTCTGTATGTTGTGATTGCTCTGTATGACCTCTGTGGTGGCTCTGTATGGAGCTCTGTATGTTGTGATGGCTCTGTGTGGGCTCTGTATGTTGTGATGGCTCTGTATGTAGTGATTGCTCTGTATGGGCTCTGTATGTTGTGATGGCTCTGTATGTTGTGATGGCTCTGTGTGGACTCTGTGTGTTGTGATGGCTCTGTATAGGCTCTGTATGTTGTGATGGCTCTGTATGTTGTGATGGCTCTGTATGTTGTGATGGCTCTGTGTGGGCTCTTGTATGTTGTGATGGCTCTGTATGGGCTCTGTATGTTGTGATGGCTCTGTATGTTGTGATGGCTCTGTATGATGTGATGGCTCTGTGCACACTCTGTATGTTGTGATTGCTCTGTATGTTGTGATGGCTCTGTATGTTGTGATGGCTCTGTATGTTGCGATGGCTCTGTATGGGCTGTATGTTGTGATTATCTGTATGGGCTCTGTATGTTGTGATGGTTCTTTATGGAGCTCTGTATGTTGTGATTGCTCTGTATGGGCTCTTATATTTGTGATTGCCTGTATGTTGTGACGGCCTGTGGCTGGCTCTGTATGATGTGATGGCTCTGTGTGTGGGCTCCATGTATGTTGTGATTGCTCTGTATGTTGTGATTGCTCTGTATGTTGTGATGGCTCTGTGTGGGCTCTTGTATGTTGTGATGGCTCTGTATGTTTTGAGGGTATGATATTCTTGAGACTTTTTGTATATTGTGGGTCTTGTGCATACCTCGTGAGACTGGGTCATATGTCAGAGTTTTATATGCTGTGAAAGTGTTAGTGCATGCTTTGAGGCCTGATGCTGTTAATCACATGAAATTGGCGATACTTTTGGATGTTATGAGACTTTTTGTATGTTGTGAGTTTATAATCCCCAGGAACATAATGTGGGGATATAGTAAACTTTTACGCCTCTCTGTCTGTCCATCCATCCTAATCATTTCGCTTCTTTGGTCATAACTCTAAAAACATCAATAAAGATTGGTAGATATATCAAACAGAACCTAAAGTGGTGCCTTCTGCTATTAACAGATTTTGGCATTTGTGTTTTTCTCGATTTACATGGAAATAATTTGGACTTAGTCTCAAAGGGAGGGTGGAACACAAATCGAAAACCGCTCAATATCTTCAACAAACCTTGGCAGGTATATCAAACAGACCCCGGCGATGCCTTTGCTGTTAGGGTTTATTAATACTTGTATTTTTCCTGTGACGCTTGATATTGGTGTGTACCTGAAATAGAAGTACCAAGTTACTTAATCCAAATTCCATGTTATTGTTTTGATAGCTCAATAACTACCCATGTATATGGATCTGACATATTTCACAGAAATTCTCTCATCAAGTTGGACTTTAAGTAACTCTCAGATGATTTGTTCTTTCAAATTTGAGGGAGCCAGGGGAGTATTTGTACATTTTGAGTTTTTTTAAAAATGGAATGAAGCTCTTGTCAAGGCTGAAAACGATTCTTGAGCTGTGTGTGTATATTTGAGTGTCTGAGAGAGATGTACAGGTGTGTGTGTATATTTGAGTGTCTGAGAGAGATGTACAGGTGTGTGTATATATTTGAGTGTTTGAGAGAGATGTACAAGGTGTGTGTGTATTTGAGTGTCTGAGAGAGATGTACAGGTGTGTGTGTATATTTGAGTGTCTGAGAGAGATGCACAGGTGTGTGTGTATATTTGAATGTCTGAGAGAGATGTACAGGTGTGTGTGTGTATATTTGAGTGTCTGAGAGAGATGTACAGGTGTGTGTGTATATTTGAGTGTCTGAGAGAGATGTACAGGTGTGTGTGTATATTTGAGTGTCTGAGAGAGATGTACAGGTGTGTGTGTATATTTGAGTGTCTGAGAGATGTACAGGTGTGTGTGTATATTTGAGTGTCTGAGAGAGAGATGTACAGGTGTGTGTGTATATTTGAGTGTCTGAGAGAGATGTACAGGTGTGTGTGTATATTTGAGTGTCTGAGAGAGATGTACAGGTGTGTGTATATTTGAGTGTCTGAGAGAGATGTACAGGTGTGTGTGTATATTTGAGTGTCTGAGAGAGATGTACAGGTGTGTGTGTATATTTGAGTGTCTGAGAGAGATGTACAGGTGTGTGTGTATATTTGAGTGTCTGAGAGAGATGTACAGGTGTGTGTGTATATTTGAGTGTCTGAGAGAGATGTACAGGTGTGTGTGTATATTTGAGTGTCTGAGAGAGATGTACAGGTGTGTGTGTGTATTTGAGTGTCTGAGAGAGATGTACAGGTGTGTGTGTATATTTGAGTGTCTGAGAGAGATGTACAGGTGTGTGTGTATATTTGAGTGTCTGAGAGAGATGTACAGGTGTGTGTATATATTTGAGTGTCTGAGAGAGATGTACAGGTGTGTGTGTATATTTGAGTGTCTGAGAGAGATGTACAGGTGTGTGTATATATTTGAGTGTCTGAGAGAGATGTACAGGTGTGTGTGTATATTTGAGTGTCTGAGAGAGATGTACAGGTGTGTGTGTATATTTGAGTGTCTGAGAGAGATGTACAGGTGTGTGTATATATTTGAGTGTCTGAGAGAGATGTACAGGTGTGTGTGTATATTTGAGTGTCTGAGGGAGATGTACAGGTGTGTGTGTATATTTGAGTGTCTGAGAGAGATGTTCAAGTGTGTGACCCAGGTGTTTAGTTTCCACCAGAGGACAGTTTGAATCCCATTTGCATCCTGAGAATGTTTCTTTGTCATCACTGAACTAGTCCTCAGAAGCTTTCACCATAGTAGTAAATGGCACAGGCATGCATCACTAGTCACTAATCAGTTAAAGCTGGGCAGCGATGAGAAATAAAGGAACTGTATCTCAAATATTAATTGATTGAATTACTGTGACATTTCTTGTATACTGACCCATAAAGATCCGTGTTATAACTGATCTTTAGTAACTCATGGTTGTCGTAAGAGGCGATAATGGGATTGGGGGCCAGGCTCACTGACTTGGTTGACACATGTCATTGTATCCCAATTAAGTAGATCATTGCTCATGCTGTTGATCACTGGATTGTCTGGTCAAGGCTCAATTATTTACAGACTGCCGCCATATAGCTGAATTATTGCTGAGTCGCGGTAAAACTAAACTCATTCACTCACTCAGTCACTCACCCACTCACTTCTTGTGTACATGGGCGTTGGGGTAGCCTTGTGGTTAAAAGCGTTGGCTCATCACTCCGAAGACCCAGTTTTCAATCCCCACATGGGTACAATGTGTGAAGTCCATTTCTGGTGTCCCCATGCCATGATGTTGCTGGAATGTTGCTAACAGTGCGTAAAACCAAACTCAGTCAGTCAGTCAGTCTTGTGTACATGGATCCATCATATGACATTTGTTTGTTAACTGCAGGCAACAATGGCCAGCTCTCTGCCGATCTATGGAGTGGGCCAACTAGTCAGCGTCCTACACTTCTGCCTGCTCTACTCTCTCTACACCTTCGAGTACAAGTGGTACAACATGGGTGAGACCCTGCCTATATTGCCAAAACATTGTAAACATTCCAACTTCCCAGCTGACCCGTCTTTGGAGTTCCCAAAACCTAAACCTTTTATTATTTTTCTGAGTTGTAACTGTAGTTTTAGTGCAGCAACAGTAAATACACAAACCCAACACCAGTCATTCTCCTTAATGTGGTGAGAATCAGTTGTTGTTTGAAAAAGACTTTTACTGATATACTGAAAGAAAGAGGTAAATCAAAACAAATAACCTACCAGTCCTTCCTGGGTTCCATGATTCCAGGGTTACAGAATAAATCGCTGAAATTACCTTTTGATGCAGAAAAAGCGTATGGTCCATGAAAACGCATTTTCATGCAGAATATCTGCAGAATTTGCCATTTTTCTGCCGTGGAATTATAATAAACACAGGTTCCCACTTTATGTACGAAACATATCATTTTGACACTGATTTTAAGGGTCAAGTTAGGGGCTTATCTATGACATCGGCTTATCTGCTGTAATATATGGTACCTTCCAGGGCTCCAGATAATTTTTCAACATCAGGAGTACGTACTCCTTATTTATTCAATATAGGAGTACTGGAAAATCTTAAGAGTACATTTAGAGTACTGAATGGAATTTAATGGCGTTATCAGTAATCTTGTGTTTCGTTTCATATATGCACCACAACATTGCTACTCTTGTGTAAACAGGTCAATAAACAATAAAACAATAATTTTTCACATAAATACGTCTGTAAATGATTCTAAGAGCATACACAATTGCTGTGGTGCGTATCTGCTATGTTTTTTAAACTATTTCCTACCGTATCGTGCATATTTTTATCCGTACATACGCAGATACGGCCTTTATCTGGAGCCCTGACCTATGCTATTTTCTACTTGGCTCAAATAGGAAACACAAACATCTTTTTTCATTTCATTGAATCCATAGTAAACAAGGGGTAATTTGCCATGCAGAGTAGTGTCCCTTTGCTGTGCCAGAATCCTTTTGAACTAGATTCGAACCCTAGATTTACCTTATTTGCAGTTCAGAATGTGAGTGATGATGATGATGATGATGATGATGATGTGAATACTCATCTCAATTGTTTTCACTTCAGGTTTAGAAGTGCACACTCGACTGTCATTGATAGAGGTCAACTGGCCCTACTTTGTTGGGTTTGGCCTGCCCATGGCATTGGCAACGTCGCTAGCTTCCTCAACTGTGATAAGGTTGGTAACAAGCAGCTAACATCTCAACAGCATGGAATGGGAGAAGCTTCAGTCTATACATAGGAAAATATTTCTTGACTCATGTTATTAGAAAGATATGTAGCCCAGTGGTTACAGCGTTCACTTGTCAAACCTGGGTTCGATTCCCCACTTAGATACAATATGTATAACCCCTTACAACCCTGATGTGAGAGTGCTATGATTTTGCTTAATTGGTTGAAGTCATACTTGACGATGCTTGTTGTAGAAATCCCTTACTGGTGACACTGACGTGCATGTTATTGCAATAATATTGGTAAAAACAGTGGAACAGTTCTTTCAGCATTATCGGTATTGTACGCTGATGCAAAATGTGTCCATTTCCCTGTCTCTCCATTCTCAACTATCCAGGGTATTATTTATCCTATGATAGGAAGTACACAAGCTTCGTAAATATGGTATCTCATGAGAACTTGCGTGGTATTGTATTTTGCAATCCACCTTTTGAATAAATTACAGTTGATTTTTATACATATTTGTTTACATTTTATATTCACAAACCAAAACTGTTTTAAGATTATGTGATCAAGTGGTATAATTTTGTACATATTGTATTCATGAACCGAAACTGGTTGAAGAAAGATATACTATGTACCGCGACCATGGTTGACAAACCCATATGACACAGGCCAACCTTTCACTTCGCTCATTTTGGATCTTACCATCTGTTCGTTCACAACAGCCATAATAAAAGTGGTGATGAGACCACCGCCATATAGCTGGAAGCTGAAATATTGTGGCGTAAAACTCAACTCAACTCACTCACTTCCCATGTGTTCGTTCAGCACAGCTGTAATAAAAGTCGTGATCTTGTGATGATGTCGGTGTCTATTTCAGTGGCTGCATCTTCTCCATCTTGTTCCCGCTCTTCATCATCAGTGCCAATGATGCTCAGGAGCCTGCACAGCCTTTGTGAGTAGAGATGTAGAGGTTCCTCGTGTAGTGAGGCATGGGGTTGAGACATTCACTCATCCTGTGTTCGATTTAGGTGTCCCCTGCTGTGAGATAAATATTATAGGTTGTTCACTGGTCTCGAGGGGGACATGGGCTGATGTGCCCTCGATGCCCATGGGCCCCGAGGGACCAGTGAACAACGTATTTATCCTACCGAACACCTCAATGGTAATTTTGAACTGTTTGAAGCACGGGTATCAGATCATAGTATGGAGTACCAGAAGACAAGATGACAAGAAAAACAAATTTAGAGTTATCTCCCTTCCATCGATTTGCAATTCGCAAAACATTGGTAATTTCCATACATCATACATGATTCAATGTTATTTGAGATAAAGAATTACTGCTACGAAGTACCAAATGAGCTCGGCATTCCCAGCGGGGTACATTGAAAATATTAGAAGAGCGCTCAGCCAATCAGAAAACGACATTTGTGTTTGAGGCAAGATAAAGATTGTTGTATTATTGTTTAAAGCTGGGAAAAGCCTTTCTTACTCCCGCACATTGATCACAGATCTACCAGCCCCATATCTCAGTCTGCTTCTTGATAACTACTGTGCCATTTATTACTAACAACATATTTCATAGCAACTTACCAATGTTCGTGATTGAGAGTGTGATTAGTTTAATTTGCTTGCATAACATTTGAGAGTTGTGCCGATTATGTGCCTCTTCTACTTTGAGGTGCCTGTTGCCCTTGCTTACCAACCAGAGTTACCTTTCCTGGTTTCGTCGTTGAAGAAATTGTTGCAATGATGGGGCAATGATTTGATGTCAGAATTATGGGGGGTCTTTGCTTGACATTTTAACTTCAGACCCGTGAAGATCCGGGTAAGAATGAACCTTCAGTAACCCATGTTTGTCGTAAGAGGTGACTAACATGATTGGGTGGTCAGGCTCGCTGGCTTGGTTGACACATGTCATCGGTTCCCAATTGTGCAGGTCGATGCTGATGCTGTTGATTACTGGATTGTCTGGCCCAGACTCGATTATTTACAGACCGCCGCCATATAGCTGGAATATTGCTGAGTGCGGCGTAAAACTCAACTCACTCACTTTTAACTTCAGACAACATATTCAGAAAATGCTACAGTGGTATGTCAATGTTTTGAAAACTGAATGTAGTATGTACCTGGTGTGCTTCATATGTCATGGGGGCGGTGGGGTAGCCTAGTGGTTAAAGCGTTGGCTCGTCACGCCGAAGACCCGGGTTCGATTCCCCACATGGGCACAATGTGTTCAGCCCATTTCTGGTGTCCCCCGCCGTGATATTGCAGGAATATTGCTAAAAGCGGCGTAAAACTAAACTCAGTCAGTCAGTCATATGTCATGATGATTCCACACTACAAACTGTGATTGTCTGAAACTGTTATTAAAGGAATCACATTGTCAAGCTTGTATCCCATATATGTGGATCGATGCTCATGCTCTCACTCACTAGGTTATTTATGAAAATGCTCTCATGTTGAAGGAATATTGCTAAATGCAACAAAACACAGAAACATACTACATTGCTGACGCACAGAAAATACAGGTCTTCCCACTCTTTTTAAAGGATTCAACATTCCTGTGGTATAAAGATTTGCTACAGACAGTAGAGAACGAATTCATTCTGTTTGACGAGGTGGAAAAATTGTTCAAGGACAAATACGTCCACCCAACTGATCGGTGGTCTCTGTTAGAAACGTTTGTGACTCGCAAATTATCCCCAAAGGAAACAATAGATGTCTATTTAGCAGAATTGACAGAGACGGCTAGTCTGTTAGGTAAGACTGATGAAGTCTGCTGAAGATAGCTGATTATTGCAGAGAACATTGACTAAACATTCATTCATTCTTTCAGTGAGTTCCCGCTAAAGCTGTTCACACCAGTGAGAGTCATCACCAATGCTGTATTCCACCGATCCATGACCAACAAAACCAGGAACCCATCTGGTAACCAAGCAACACCCAAAAGGACACCAACCCATGATGCCAAACCATCTAGGTGATCCTTGACCATGTCTGTAAGAACGCCAGACAGTGACCTACTTTGATGACATGGAATAAGACAAAACAATGAATGTCAGGGATGATGAAGATCAAGGTCAGAGGGATGATACAGGTCAAGGTCAATTATTAGAACAATGGACAGTGCCAAATTCACAGATCAAGTAAATCTCAAGGAAAAATGGTGAACATTTAAAGGACAAAGGAGCTTGGAAGAGTAAAGCAGAAAATTTACACTCATATAATACCTTTCCTTCAGTTATAATATTTTGCCAGTAGTGATGTCTCATTTTATGTCTTGCAATCTGTCTTACACTGTATACTTTTAAACTTGCTATAGTGTGGTAGTGCAAAACAATATCTAATATTTCACAGAATGTAAATGTACTCACAGTGAAACGTTCAAGGTGGACCTGACTTTACAGTCAAAGACTAGGAGTATCAGTGTATATATATACATGGAAGGATAACCACATGGTATGACATACAGATTATATGTCCCTAGGCAATCAATTGTTTTATGAGCGAGATAATCTGTATATACGTGTTGCTGGTATATATTACACTATTAGTCACGATATGCCTGAAATATTGCCGATGTGACTTATAATCTTAACTCACTCACTATATTACACTTTACTTTTCGTATCCATTTGTTTTGAGAGAATGTGGGTTTGGATCACAAGTGGAGACGTCAGCTCAGTCTGTGACTTCAACAATGACATCGTTCATAATTTACTATAATGTGTTGCTCTGGTGACATTGCCAGAGACAAGAATGAAATTGGGGATCATTCATAATTTATGGCTAGGGGAGGGGTGATGATGATTTCTATGGAGAAGCATGTACATTGTGAATCCCCCTCACTAAATTTATGTACAAAGTAAGTTAACCCCCCAATGCATGTCATGTACAAAATCAATCCCAGTTACCTTCCCATAATTTCTAAGCATCTTTTTTTAAATATCTTAATGTACAAAATTGATCCCCCATCCCCATACAGGTGTACAAAATTGATGACCACACTAACTCCACAGAACAACCCCACCCACCCACCCACCCTCCTTAAAATCATCATCATCATCATCATCATCCCCCCAGCCATAAATTATGAACGGTCCCTTGGAACATTTGTCAAGCCAACACCATGAAGCAAATATTGTAATACACTGTGAAAGATTCTGACAAACATTGTATATAAAATCCAAGGCGTATGGTTTGTCCTTATCATAATGTTGCCATTTTCATTCCTCTTGTTCAAATCACGATGTGTGTACAGGTGTCATGACTCTCCGAACTGACGAAAAAACCCTTGAAGATCTGGCTTAGAATTGGTCTTCAGCAACCCACGCTTGACGTAAGAGGCGACTAACGGGATTGGGTGGTCAGGTTCGCTGACTTGGTTGGCACATGTCATCGTATCCCAATTGCATAGATCAATGTTCATGATGTTGATCCCTGGAAGCCTAAACTATGCCTTAAAATTAAGAAGTCTCACCATCTGGCAATAAGATTAAATGGATGTCAGTCTTTTGATTTGACATTTATAGCAATTAGGGGTGGGCGATAACACTGATTAACAGGTATATTGCAATTCGAACATCAGAATATGATATACTGCTGTACACTTCTCGCGAACCAGTTCACCCAATACGATCAGCAATTTCCGTGACCATGATCGGTAATTTTCATGATGTGGTCAAAAATACTAATAACATTTGTATTTCCTTTATATTATTATACATTAATAGTTTGAGAATGTTTATTGGTCATATAATTGCATTTGCATGACTTTTAAACCATATAAATAAAAAAAATATAATGGTACCAGGACTCGTATTGATAACAAACCAAAATGGCGGACACCGCTGCAGACGCTTTTTCTCCAGTTCAAAACTTTAGAGTGAAGTCTTCAATTTGGAAACATTTTCAATTAATCCTTTGTACAATCACATCTGAGTCCTGACAGTGGCCAGTGGCCAGTTGCATTGTTTCAAAAGAAAGGAAACAGTAATTCCATTACCTTAAACCCATGTGTTACACTTTCACAATATATTGCAATACATATTGCAGTACGCCAACTCATATCACAATATATCGCAGTATGAAAGTTTTGGCAATACCCAATCCAAATAGCAATGCCTGTTAAAATGTGTTGACGGATACAGCGGCTGGTAAATGTTCTGTTACCATGGTTACAATGTACAAAGGTTCATTCCTTGGGTGGTCGTCAAGAATTGTCCTGAAATAAACATAGGTCTAGGACCCAATCCACAAAGTGCAGAGCAATAGTTCACAACACTATGAACATTCTGTGGATAAGCATTTGTTAAAGTCCGTTTGGCTCAAAAGCGGACCGATGAATTGCAATCTAACTTGAAAACTTATAAACATAAAATACTCAATGAAACACTGATCATAATGAAAACGTCAGACCAACTCTGCAGAATTTATGTCCTAAAAATAAGAAAGTTGTTTAACAAACTATCATTAAAATATCGACACAGTTCACTATTTGTTAAGAGGGAGGAGTGCAGAGAAAGGGACAGCCGGGGTGTGCGAGAAAGGATGGAGACGGCACAGCACAGGTTAATGAATCAATAACTTTGTTGGCACTTGTGCACATGCTTCTCTAACACCTGGCTGTCCCTTTCTCTATAGGTATAACTTACCGGTAAGTTGTGGTATTTCTGACCCCAAAATATTCTATTCTATTTATGTTCATGAATGTGTGTGTTTATATATATGTAGTTTATGGTATGTGTGCAGCAGGGTGTCAGAGATCACAGATGACATCCTTACTTTGTCAGCTTTCTGTCAGGGTCAGTCTTGGTTCATTCGTAACTACTCGTGTCATTCTGGCAAGCCGGATTTCGTCTCATACCCCTCTTGTGGCCATGTTTAGGAATGGACCCTGTCTAAGCGGAAACGGGCATGGAGATGAAAATAGCCTAGTACTATTGCCAAGGAAAGATAACTCTGAATTTCCAAACATGGCTCCTAGAATATCCTATATCCCGAGGGCAAAACAGCAATACAGTCATTCGCTTAGTAAATATATTTCAGTGTTTAAAATTGCTTATTTTTTAGCTCAAAGTTTATGTTTAAATTGTGCTTTTCATGGTTTAGCGACATTTCAAATTTTAAAGGTGCCGCCATTTTCATACTTCGAAATGCATTTTACTACGCGATTTGATTGGTTTGCCACGATTCTTGGCAATAATGGCGTACGATAGGGATACGACTCTTCTTGCAGGTCACGGAAAGAGGCAAGTAATTACGAATGGTCCCATATGTATCAACCTCAGATCAAAAGTTGCGTGGCTTGAATCCCATTATGAGTGAGTGAGTTTAGTTTTACACCAATATTCCAGCAATATCACAACAGGGGACACCAGAAATGGGCTTCACATATTGTACCCATGTTGGGAATCGAACCTGGATCTTCGGTGTGCCGGTGAACACCATTACCACTATGCTACTCCGCCGCCACTCGCCGTTTATGAAGGAACGGAGTGTGAATAGAGATAACCTCGGTTGATGGTAATTCAGATATGTGGCATCTTGATGAAGGAGGAAAACTTCAGACGTTTACCACGTCGGCGGATACTGTATTGTCATTATTGCATATACTCTCAAATCTTCCGGGGCGGTGGGGTAGCCTAGTGGTTAAGGCGTTCGCTCGTCACGCCGAAGAGCGAGTGAGTTTTGTTTTACACGTCACTCAGCAATATTCCAGCTTTATGGCAGCAGTCTGTAAATAACCGAGTCTGGACCAGACAATCCAGTGATCAACAGCATGAGCATCGATCTTCGTAATTGGGAACCGATGACATGTGTCAACCAAGCCAGCGAGCCTGACCACCCGATCCTGTTAGTCGCCTCGAACGACAAGCATGGGTTACTGAAGGTTCATTCTAACTCGGACCTTCACGGGTTCACACCGAAAACCTTGCTCAGAATCCCATTATGATAAATGTTCTGTCTACTCCATGTGTAAAGAAGACAATATGTTGCAGCTATTCAGTGATACTATAGCAGTGATGATGAAGTGAGGGTCATATGCTTCATTTTTCAGTTCCATGACAGGGCGGTGGGGTAGCCTAGTGGTTAAAACTTTAAAAGCTTGTCACGCTGAAGACCCGGGTTCGATTCCCCACATGGGTGCAATGTGTGATGCCCATTTATGGTGTCTGGCTTTGATATTGCTGGAATATTGCTAAAAGCAGCATAAAACTAAAATCACTCACTCACTTAACTTTGGTTATTGGGTCATGCCAACAGATGTCTTACCTCATAATGGTAGCTGGGCACTGCAATCTAAATGGATAGATTGACTTTGAAATTTATAGATATTTCTGTCTAAAGTTGTTTAAAATATGCCATTGCATAGCAATTAGTACATAAATTGCATTTGTATCTTAAATATTGTAAATTATGTATAAGAATTGTTTTGTGCTAGCCTTTGGTGAACTTACATATACTGTTTGATTCCTGATATATGATGATGTTACAGAAAGAAATGTGTTTATCGTGATCTCATTCTTAAGAGGGGGCGGTGGGATAGCCAAGTGGTTAAAGCATGCACTCTTCACGCCGAAGACCCGGGTTCGATTCCCTACATGGGTACAATGTGTGAAACCCATTTCTGGTGTCCCCCGCCATGAGATTGCTGGAATATTGCTAAAAGCGGAGTAAAATTAAACTCACTCACTCATTCTTAAGAGAACTCAAGGTTATGAAAAGTTGCTGTTCACTATTATTGCTTCAGAAAGTGCGAAGAATACAAAGCCTCAGTGAACCGCTACAATGTAGTGCCAAAATAGTTGCAGCCATGTTTGTTAACATAATGCATCAAGCACATCAAGAAACCACTCTCTGCCTGTTTAGGGAACATTCTGTGATAGTTGTTTAGCACAAAAGGATGTACAAAGCTCACTGAAAGTAGTTCCTGCTAGGTGACCTCACTGTCCGATTTCTATTAGATTATGACAGCGAAGTTAATTACAGCATAGATAACGCTGTCCATCATATTATCAGTTTAGTCGTTTTAATGACTGGGTTTGTATTAAATGGATATGTTTCTGTTAGGCACAGATGGAATACACAAAACTGACTGACTGACTGACTGAGAGTTTTACGCCCGGCGTTTAGCAATATTCCAGCAATATCACACACCAAAATGGGCTTAACACATTGTGTGTGGGGAATCGAACCCGGGTCTTTTGGCGTGACATGGCTTTAACCACTAGAACACCACTGCCCCACAAAACACTTAGAAGGCAAACAGAAATATGAAGAAGATCCATGGTGAAGAAATAATGCTGCTTTCTAATTAGATAAACACATACTTATAACTATTCTTTGTGGGGTGCTAATCAACAGAAACAATGTACCCTGGACTGGGGAGGATGAGGTTGTGATCATAATACTGCCTACATACCTCAGATTGTCAGATTATGAAGACAACCCCTACTTCTGGTAGTTCGGCTGTGTGTTGACGATTTCAATTTTTATTTCTTTATAATAACAAAATTGATAAGACAGTGTGCATATAAACATAACTCATGTGGAAGTCATTGTAAGTTCTCTGAGTAATCTCCCTTAGATATGTCAGAATCCGGAATTCACCGAATCATGATTCTTACTGCTTGTCTTAGCTACTTGTGGGAGTAACCAAACCTGTAATGGTTAAAGATGACTTACACGTGCGGACTTTCATCCAACATGGGGGTTTGGTGGGCGAGCTGGCTGAGGCACCAAACTAGTGATCCAGCAAGCATGATCGAGCCCACCTGTGACCGGGTGTAAAAACCTTGGAGTCAACTTTGTGTGCAGACTCTCTCAGTGGTGTCACAACCCCTAGTGTACAGTACACAACCCTGTGCACATAAAAGAACCCACGAATCCGTTGGTAGACGACCAGATGGTGGCCACATGAAACGTGCAAACACCTAGTTGCGGGTACAGCAACGTGCAGTAAACTTGGACAAAGTACCGTGACTATGTGTCCCAGTCCACCCAGCTGTGAATGGGTACCTCGTAAGGATGGGAAAGCCGCAATAAATCGGTACACCTTGTGGCAGAAAGAGTTGTAAGCTTCCCAGGGAGATGAGACTGATAATAAGATGTGCCGTTGAGATTGACATCCAATGATCGAGGGAAAAAATACCAGCTCCTTATAATTGAGCATGCACTAATGCATGGACATGTGCGCTATATAAATATCCAATAAAAACATAAAGCTGTCATGCGATGATATATCTGAAATACAGTCAAAAGAGTTTAAACCCAGTTTATCCAGATAACTGCTTCAGACAATTTAGAAAAATCATTCCCACCAGTTCCTTTTCTTTGACCTGAATGGCCAATCGGTAAGTTAATATATAAACCATATGCCTTGGTTTGGGAAGAAATTTCAAGACCTTTGTCCCTCAAAACCTTTCTTGATAGATATTGCAACAGGTTAAACCACTAGGCTGTCCCTAGGCCCTTTTGATAATTGAACATTTAATAAATGCAGCGGATATAACCAGACACTTAGAGGTTGAGAAGTGGTGGAAGCCTTTTTCATGTCACTGTAACTTGGAATGATAGTTCAGATTTTTACCTGATTTTGATGGTGCTAAGTCATGTAGCCTGAATTTAACTATAACATTGTGTGGTGTACAGCAAGCCTACTTGTATATTTCCATTGCTTGAGTGACAGATTTCATATTTTGTTCTTACTAAATTATATCCTGCTATTTAGAGCTATATAAAATGTATTTTATGAAAACTTGCTTTGTGTTTCATTTTGTCTCCTGTGAGAAAATGGATAGCTTTAGCCTGAGCTTCTCCCGTTCAGAGTTGTGTCTCTATCCACCCAAGGATCTGCTGGTTGTGACTGTTTTAACCTGAATTTCCTCCAGGAATGATTCTATGAAGGGTGCCACTTATATTTTCCTGGAGTCAAATTGGTGTACAAGTTATTTTTACATAGAATGTATCCTTATCAGATTTGGGCTAAATATACTAAATATGATTTGTCACTTTCAGGTAAAACAGATGATGAAAAAAATTTCAGCACTGAATTATTGACATCACACAGCACCAACATTGAGTGAGTTAAGTTTTACGTCGGACTCAGCAATATTCCAGCTATATGGCGGCGGTCTGTAAATAATCGAGTCTGGACAAGACAATCCAGTGATCAACAGCATGAGCATCGATCTGCGAAATTGGGAACCAATGACATGTGTCAACTAAGTCAGCGAGCCTGACCACCCGATCCCGTTAGTCGCCTCTTTCGACAAGCATGGGTTACTGAAGGTTAATTCTAACCCGGACCTTTATGGGTCTATTTCTCCGGGATTGCACCAAAGTACTGCTGAATATTTGTAAGAACAGTGAAACATATTCCAGTGGATCCTGACGGAGATTTTCCAGGACTATGTCTTTCAGCCAGTCTGCCTGAGACTCAGCTATTTACCTCCACCATGTTACTGCTATTATTCATTCTCACAAAATATTCAGTCGCAACATTCTTAATATTTCAAACTTCATCCAATCTCTTTGATTTTATTCTAAAATAAACACAGACGTCATATTATTTCCAGCATATTTATTTTGTAATGATAATATCATAGCCTGTCAACTCCACCCTCCTACAAAGAAGAAGCAAGATGGGGCACGTTACTGACAGGTGGGTAATGGTGGGCACATCAGACGCCCAAACTAGGGGAGGCAACTGCTGCAGCAAGTGACCTCTTGGTCATCAAGAATGAATACTTGACAATCTGATCTAATACTTGACAATTCTTGGCAACTACTTTACAATTCCATACCAGTGCTTAGATTATTGATAACTATCAAAGGGGGATAACCATGTCAGGAAGACAAACTAAGGGAGACTACTCATGACTAGTACTTTCACTGTCATGCGCTGTGATTTGCATGAGGACAAGTTCAAAGACATTCTATTCAGCTGATTCTGCTTCAAATCACTCAAGATAACATTACGAGGATGATTATTTTGGCCTAAATCTGCCAAAACCATGGTAACAATAGTAAACGCCCCATTCCTGTAACGCCAAAATCTATTGGTGCAACATATGCTACTTGTATCCTACAAGAAATAATACCATACAGTATTTTTCTACTCTCTTGTACGTAGTGCATCACCTAGAGTATGTGTACATCTCTGAACTATACAAACAGCATTCATTGTTAAAGAAACATTAAGTGTACACAAACCTTTGCATCAAAGCAAAATGGATGTCATGAAAAGAGCAAGCATTAATTGTGCTGTATAGGACAGGGTTCGAATGTGGAGCATGACTAGCCACTGGATGAACTTGACGTAAAGCAGTCTCAACAAAAAGCTTCATGAAATAAATTACAAAATGACAAACTTCAACAATTGCTCAAGGTGGACTCACATTATAAGATATGTAATCATAATTCTGGGAACAGATGATATACATCTGTTTGTCAATAAATCCTGAAAATCAAAACAAGAAAACCCAATTTTGAAAATGATTTACACACATTTTGTTTACTTAAACTAAGTTCTCATAATATATATAACTTGAATTTTGTCATTACAATGCAACTGCAGACATTAAGTCTTGTAAAGATCCAAAATGTTTAGTGTAAACACAGATCTATCATATTGTAATAAAATTAGATAAAAAAATTCTTAATTCATAATGTTTTTATATCATACTTGACATCATATATCATTTAGAACACAGAGTGTCCTTAATTTTCGCCAACAAACAAACAGAATTTCTAATAATATGACTCTGAACAATATTTTCAGAGAAACATACGATGTAAACAATGATTCCATGAATCAATAATAGGATGAAATGGTCAGTACACTGAATAGTTCTTCTCAACAACTAGTACTCTGGGGTGAAATTCTTACAAACAAATGTTCAAATCCAAACACAAACAGCATTTTGGGAACGTTGTGGACATACACAATCTCAATACAAAACTTCACAATTTGTCATTCACTCAAAGAAATAATGGATTTCAATCATAAGACTTAACTTGTTCTAAACTCACATTTGTATAATGAAACACCTTAAATTTTAATAGGGCCTATTTTTCACATTTTACCAATTATAACATTTTTAAAAAATGTTTGCAAATATTCATGAAATATTTGACCTACAGCAACCCATTCCACATCATGTAAACAGAGATATCAGGCTAAAAGTGACTGACTGCTGGGATGTGTTGTCAAGACAGTAGTATTTGCTATTGCCATGGAACCAACACATTTCTGTATATGAATTAATCTTGGTAACAGCTGTGTAATCAGTAAACAAATGAATCTTGTTAGCAGATGCATCGTCAAAATCGCAACTATTACAGTAAGACAAATTTCTGCTCCATTTCAAGAAAAAATAATGCAGTCAAGTGTCAGTAGTATCCGACCAGTGTCTCTTTCAAAAACTGAGAAATATCTTTTGCACTAAGAGTGAAAGCTGAGTAATTTGCTTCTAAAATGAATTGTCACAATATCTCTATAAAATATTTACTATGGTTCCAGTTACCCTTCATTGACCTATGAGTCGAAGCTGAAATGGGATATACGATTTGCTGTAGTTTAATTTGGCGATGAAGATGTTCAATTTATACATACAAAGACTTTGAATCTTGATTCAATCATAATACATCCATATTTACAAAATACCCGCTATCTACAGCCATTCCGGGAATACAGTCCGTTATATTATGGAAACTATGTAACCAATACTTCTCAGATGTCAGATACACACATAACTACAAAGTGACGCCCAGTTTGATTGACGATCAGAAATGTTAAACCAGGATACTCCTGACAGTGAAGAGACTGGATTAAGGGAAACCAAAGAGCCTGAGCTAATTACGACTTAACAAACACTAAGCTCAACATTTGATTCTGTGCCGTTTTATAAAACATCCACAAGGAGACTCAGTGTTGTTGTACCTACGTGGTGTATTCTAACAGAGAAATATGGTCCACATTAAAAACACAGCCTTCGTATCACATGGTCGGGTGACCTTGACCTTGGTCTAGTCTTCTAGATTCCTGAACGCCGTCTGCATCTCCTCGTAGAGTTCGTCAAAGTCCTGCTTGATCTTTGCCTCGCCATCTTTGACAGGGTCCTGGAATGAGGACAAGGATAGTTCTAAGACATTAAATTCAGCTGATTTTGCTTTAGATCACTGATGACATCCCAAGGATGATCCTCAGGCAGAAAACTGCTAAAACAGTTGGGAAATATCAAATCAGTTTTCACTTTTCAACAACAAAAGTTTTGTTTGGTCGTTGCTTAACGCCACACTCAGCAGTATTCCAGCTATAAGGCGCAGTCTGTAAATAATCAAGTTTGGGCCCAAATCCAGTAATCAACAGCATTAGCATCAATCTAATCAATTGAGATTCGATGACATGTGTCCACCAAGTCAGCTAGCCTGACCACCCGATTCCTTTAGTCAGCCTCTTACGACAAGCATGGGTTACTGAAGATCAATTCTAACCCTCTAACCCGGATCTTCATGGGTGAAATTGGGTTTAGCAGTGGCTTGAGAATATTTTGCTCATATGACGGCACGCATGCGCAGGTATGTCTACGTGGCTGCTTGTACTAGCCCAGACTTAAGCTGGTTTTATAGTGCTAGCTCACTGAGACACCATGCCGCAGTGAAGCATGAATACCCCACTCAGACACATTATACTGACTCCGAGCCGACCAGTCCTTGTTGTACCCATTAATGCTGAGCGCCAGGCAGGGACCAACAAGTACCATATTTTAACGTCTTTTGGTATGACGCGACCAGGGAACGAACCCGAGTCGCCTCTTACGACAAGCATGGGTTGCTGAAGATCAATTCTAACCCTCTATCCCGGATCTGCATGGGTCTGATGCGATGGACTTAAATATATGTCTTAAACACAGAAGTATGCATCCACCAAGTCAGCGAGCCTGACCACCCGATTCCGTTAGTCGCCTCTTCTCACGACAAGCATGGGTTGCTGAAGATCAATTCTAACCCTCTAACCCGGATCTTCATAGATCTGATGCGATGGACTTAAATATATGTCTTAAACACAGAAGTATTCATCCACCAAGGAACAAGTGTCACACTCCGGTGTGTATGTTCAGAACACACACACAAGTTGCTTCTGAGACTGATAGACTGACCTTGAACTTCATACTGCTGAGTTTGTAGAGGATGTCGTTCATCTGATCTCGGATGATGGACCAGGTGATTTTGTTCTCGCTCTGTGCTGTGCTCTCCACTGCGTGCCGAGCCAGGTCGTAGAACGAGATGATGTTCTTCAACATACCCACTGTCTTGTAGAAGGGGCAGAACCTGGACGGAGCAGAACAAGCAGTTGTTTAGACATAACAATTATGATTATATAGAAAGCTTAATTGAGCAGAGATTTATCAAGATCTGATCAGGGCTCATATTCTGTCCCAAGTTAGAAACAACTTTGAATTTAGATTTCAAAATTTTAATAACATAATTAAATATTATTTAGTTACCAACTAATGTGCTGTTTTGTTGAAGTCACAGATCAGAGAGATTTCACTCACCTGTCGTACGGAGTGTAGCCGTTCTGCTGCAGGTAGTCATCCTTGATGAGTTTGGCAACCTCCAGGAGGATCTTGTCTGGCTCTGCCAGGGAGCCCTGTGGAGGATAGATACAGGTTTAATGCCTGTCAGCGTCACAGTTTCCGCACGGGAACAAGTTTGCCAAGACAACTATAAGTGATGGAGGTGATGTGCGTTTATCACTGCTATTAACAGCACTTCAGGTTTGTCAAGGCATATCCATTAGTGATGCAAGTCTTACTTCGTTAACAAAACCTTGAGGTGCTGACAAATCTATAAACACGATGAGCATCTGAGCCCCTGATGATAGCTTTAGGAGACACCCAAGGGACATATGACTGAACAGTTCATAAGGAATTTCAAGAGTGACAATAATCTAAACTTCTAATCTGAGCATGTCCTGAAATGTTTGTCTGTACGTTGTTTAACTCCACACTCAATATTCCAGACATATTATATAATGGGTGTCTGCAAACAACTACTGGTCAGATAATTAGTGGTGGTCCGATTAATTGAAATAATCGAAGATTGGTCGCAGTGACTAAACGACCAAGCAATCGATCATAATTCTCATAATCGAACACAAACCATTCTGGAACACTTGTTTTCATTAACAATTTTTTCACATGGTTGGTTTTGTCAGTTATATTTCGTAAGCACTACAAGCTCGTTTCAAGTCATGATTGAATTTATCTTAAAGATTCCAGGAAATTTATGTTCCTAACATACTAGTCATCCTTTACAGATATGAAAATTTGCCAAAAAAACCCAAAAGAACTACATGCCTTTTTCTTATTTTTATGTGCATGAACAAAATTAAAAAATGACGCTAACCAATTATTTTCGATGATTGATTGTAGTAACGAACCAATCATCAATTATGAGATTTTAAACAATTCCCAACACTACAGATCTATAATCCACTGATTCCTATTTGGAGGACAGATACGTGGGATGCAATAACATCCATCGACAGATCCACGTGATCCAATATTTGCCTCTTACAACAAACACAGGACCATTCCGGAATGTTCAGGAAAGTGTTTCATGGATATTCTTTACTGTAGAAGCCTGAAGGACTGACTGACTGAGTCTGGTTTTACGCCGCTTTTAGCAATATTCCAGCAACATCACGGCGGGGGACACCAGAAATGGGCTTCACACATTGTGCCTATGTGGGGATTCAACCCGGTCTTCGCGTAACGAGCCAACGCTTTAACCATTAGGCTACCCCACCGCCCCTAGAAGCCTGAAGGAACAAGCAATAGATCTACCTTTCCAACAAGCTGCACAATTTCTGAGACATCTTCCTCCTCTTGCAGGATCTCCTTGCACTGTAAGAGAAAATACTTAGTGTTGACAGGCAGAATTTGGTTGATAGACCAACTCAACATTTTTCTCCGGTCACAATTTTATCAACAGGTTACATGGGTCAATGTTATTATTTTTTTCCAGCTATTAGACTGTGGGCTGTTATTACTCGGGTCTGGGCCAATGGACTTCAATCTATGCAGTTGGTGAGTGAGTGAGTTAATGTTTAATGTCACATCGGCAATATCTCAGCCATATCGTGACGAAAACAATTTATACAATAAAAAATGAAAACATTTTGAAGAGTAAAACCTGTCGACGCTATGCAGTTGGGATGCGATGATATGTGTCAACCAAGTCCGTTACCCTGGCCACCCGATCCCATTAGTTGCCTCTTACAACAAGCATGGGTTACTGAAGATCAATTCTCCACTCAAATGAAGATGCCCTATCTCTCTATAATAAGTCAATCAATCAAATTCAAGAAATCCACGAAATTGGGTTGCTGAAGACCAATTCTCTTGAAGAGGCAGAAAGTTTAAGAAACAAACTTTGAACAAAATAACAGTTTTGACCACCTAGCACATCAAGAGTATAAAGCTTAGAATTCAAGATAAATGTTTTAATGGGTATAATTAGCTGATGTACCTTCTTCCTGAGTGGCACAAACCCGGGGAAGTTCTTGTCATAGAACTCATCGAGTGCTCGCATGTACTTGCTGTAGCTGATGAGCCAGTTGATGGAGGGGAAGTGTTTACGTTGAGCAAGCTTCTTGTCCAACCCCCAGAACACCTGTACAATACCCAGGGTCGCAGACGTCACAGGGTCGGAGAAGTCACCACCAGGGGGAGACACACTACAAGCAGACAGACAGCACTGATGGACTGGACATCATACTTCAAGGGAGGTAATCAGAACAATTTCAAACACAGTAACGTCCCTTTTAATCCTCAGGATTATTTTTATTATGTGGTTATTCAAATTTGCTACAAGAACACTTAAACCAACGGACATCCAAAAGTTCTTACTTTCAACTGAGGTCTTTGAGTGGCATTTTATAAGTTGGTAAGAACAATATTGACAAACTTTATGGATAACAACTTCTTGTATTTCGTGGGTGCGACGTTACGATACAGATTCTTGTACAATCGTCTTGTACTGTTTGACAATGGTACAAGAATCTGTATCGAAACGTCGCACTCATGAAATAAAAAAGAAGTTGTTATCCATAAAGTTTGTTAATATACAAATTAAGGGCTATAACAAAGACTCTCTGATGTTAAGTTTGAACAGTGACCACCCCATAATATATCGTAAATGAAATAGCAACTTTATTGGATAAATGTTCCATTAGTAATACTTCATGTATATGACAAAATACTTACGCTCCGACAATACTGACGGAACCCTCTCTGCTGGGGTTTCCGAGACACGTGACGCGACCAGCTCTCTCGTAGAAGGAGGCCAGACGAGCGCCAAGGTAGGCTGGGTAGCCCGAGTCAGCAGGCATCTCGGCCAGACGACCAGAGATTTCTCTCAAAGCCTCGGCCCATCTAGATGTTGAGTCAGCCATCATGGACACATTGTAACCCATGTCACGGAAATACTCGGACAGCGTGATACCTATTGACAAACATTAAATGGTTTGTGGATGATTTTGCAACTGTCTGTGATGAGGGTTTCAGATCGAGTCACTCTTTCAAATTTAACTGCTGGCTAGTTGAGATTGTCTTCAGATATTGAGCAAATGTGGCAAATTGAAACTGGACATGGTTCATTCAAAGCTGACACTTTAACCACTGGACTACCCCACAATTATGTTGCAGAAGATGAGTTTCACTGTGGTTTCAATAGCATTTCAGTTAAATCTTGAAACTCATGAGCACAGGTATGGTCAGTATACTGGGTAATAATGTTTGTTTGTGTTGAAGGCCACACTCACTAACATTCCTGCTGTATAATGGGGGTTTGTGAATCATCAAGTCTGGACCAGAAAATCCAGTGATTGACATTAGGAGTATTGATCTAGGAATAAGACAGTGTACCCTGGGGGTGAGAGAGTGTACCCTGGGGGTGAGAGAGTGTACCCTGGGGGTGAGAGAGTGTACCCTGGGGGTGAGAGAGTGTACCCTGGGGGTGAGAGAGGGTACCCTGGGGGATGATGTGATGTATTGTGGGGGTGAGAGAGTGTACCCTGGGGATGATGTGATGTACTGTGGGGGTGAGAGAGTGTACCCTGGGGATGATGTGATGTATTGTGGGGGTGAGAGAGCACCCTGGGGGTGATGTGATGCATTGTGGGGGTGAGAGAGTGCACCCTGGGGGTGATGATGCACTGTGGGGTGAGAGAGAGTACCCTGGGGATGATGTGATGTACTGTGGGGTGAGAGAGTGTACCCTGGGGATGATGTGATGTATTGTGGGGGTGAGAGAGTGCACCCTGGGGGTGATGTGGATGTACTGTTGGGCAGAGAGAGTGTACCCTGGGGGATGATGTGATGTATTGTGGGGTGAGAGAGGGTGCACCCTGGGGTGATGTGATGTATTGTGGGGTGAGAGAGTGTACCTGGGGGGTGATGTGATGCACTGTGGGGGTGGGAGAGTGTAACCTGGGGGTGATGTGATGTACTCTGGGGGTGAGAGAGTGTACACTGGGGATGATGTGATGTACTGTAGGGTGCGTGAGTGTGTACCCTGGGGGTGATGTGATGTATTGTGGGGGTGAGAGAGTGTACCCTGGGGGTGATGTGATGTATTGTGGGGGTGAGAGAGTGTACCCTGGGGATGATGTGATGTACTGTGGGGGTGAGAGAGTGTACCCTGGGGGATGATGTGATGTACTGTAGGGGTGAGAGAGTGTACCCTAGGGGTGATGTGATGTACTGTGGGGGTGAGAGAGTGTACCCTGGGGGTGATGTGATGTACTGTGGGGTGAGAGAGTGTACCCTGGGGTGATGTGATGTACTGTGGGGGTGAGAGAGTGTGCCCTGGGGATGATGTGATGTACTGTGGGGATGAGAGAGTGTACCCTGGGGGTGATGTGATGTACTGTGGGGGTGAGAGAGTGTACCCTGGGATGATGTGATGTACTGTGGGGTGAGAGAGTGTACCCTGGGGGTGATGTGATGTACTGTGGGGGTGAGAGAGTGTACCCTGGGGATGATGTGATGTACTGTGGGGGTGAGAGAGTGTACCCTGGGGATGATGTGATGTACTGTAGGGGGTGAAAGAGTGTACCCTGGGGGTCATGTGATGTACTGTGGGGGTGAGAGAGAGTGCACCCTGGGGGTGATGTGATGTACTGTAGGGGTGAGAGAGTGTACCCGGGGATGATGATGTATTGTGGGGGTGAGAGAGTGTACCCTGGGATGATGTGATGTACTGTGGGGGTGAGAGAGTGTACCGGGGATGATGTGATGTACTGTAGGGGGTGAGAGAGTGTACCCTGGGATGATGTGATGTACTGTGGGGTGAGAAAGTGTACCCTGGGGATGATGTGACGTGCACTGTGGGGTGTGAGAGAGTGTACCCTGGGGATGATGTGATGTACTGTGGGGGTGAGAGAGTGTACCCTGGGGATGATGTGATGTACTGTAGGGGTGAGAGAGTGTACCCTGGGGGATGATGTGATGTACTGTAGGGGTGAGAGAGTGTACCCTGGAGATGATGTGATGTACTGTAGGGGTGACAGTGGGACTGGCCAAAGTTTCCCCATGGCTGGTAATACACTGACTGGCTGCTGCACTCACCTGTGTAGATGGAGGCCTCTCTGGCAGCTACAGGCATGTTGGAGGTGTTAGCCACAAGGGCGGTTCTCTTCATGATGCTCTCCGGCTTGCCCTCAACCTCCATGGTCAGCTGCAACAACATCGCACCAATCATTGTACTCAACTCATATTACCACATCTCTCACTCCAAACACATCGCACCAATCAACACACTGTACTCAACTCATACCACCACATCTGTCACTCCAAACACATCGCACCAATCAACACACTGTACTCAACTCATACCACCACATCTGTCACTCCAAACACATCGCACCAATCAACACACTGTACTCAACTCATACCACCACATCTGTCACTCCAAACACATCGCACCAATCAACACACACTGTACTCAACTCATACCACCACATCTGTCACTCCAAACACATCGCACCAATCAACACACTGTACTCAACTCATACCCCAACATCTGTCACTCCAAACACATCGCACCAATCAACACACTGTACTCAACTCATACCACCACATCTGTCACTCCAAACACATCGCACTCAATCAACACACTGTACTCAACTCATACCACCACATCTGTCACTCCAAACACATCGCACTGATCAACACACTGTACTCAACTCATACCACCACATCTGTCACTCCAAACACATCGCACCAATCAACACACTGTACTCAACTCATACCACCACATCTGTCACTCCAAACACATCGCACTAATCAACACACACTGTACTCAACTCATACCACCACATCTGTCACTCCAAACACATCGCATAATCAATCAACACACTGTACTCAACTCATACCACCACATCTGTCACTCCAAACACATCGCACCAATCAACACACTGTACTCAACTCATACCACCACATCTGTCACTCCAAACACATCGCACCAATCAACACACTGTACTCAACTCATACCACCACATCTGTCACTCCAAACACATCGCACCAATCAACACACTGTACTCAACTCATACCACCACATCTGTCACTCCAAACACATCGCACCAATCAACACACTGTACTCAACTCATACCACCACATCTGTCACTCCAAACACATCGCACCAATCAACACACTGTACTCATCAGATACAACTACATCTTACTCCCAACACATCAACAACGGTTCATTTATTAACCCTCATGCTACTACAGGTAGCACTGTTCATATTTAAAGGGCGTCACTGATCCGTAAGTAAAGAGGGTTTTGTTCCTATGATAAATTGAACATTGGAGTTGTGGCAAGACCCATTCATCTTCTGTATTTAGAACAAAGTTATCAATTGACACTTGGCTAGGTATGCCGAGTCCTCAGCAGTTCTGAAGTCTTGACTTCCTTCAGGGGCTTAGCTACTATGATTTAAAAAGGCCCGGGCTTACACACGATTGTTGCTAAAGAGGACTCAAGACTACCTAAACATAAAGCTTTCCAATCCATAGGGCTTACATGAAATAATTTATTTGCTACGCGCCCCTCCTTTCCCCCTTACTGTCACATGACCTAAAGTATGACCTTGACATTTAACTTGACAGATTAACCTTTGACCTTGACATTTGGCCATGAAAATCAAACTGACTGACTGAGTTTGGTTTTACGCCGCTTTAAGCAATATTCCAGCAACATCACGGCGGGGGACACCAGAAATGGGCTTCACTCATTGTACCCATGTGGGGATTTGAACCCGGGTCTTCGTCGGACGAGCCAACGCTTTAACCACTAGACTACCCCACCGCCCCATATGAAAATCATACCACACAGGAGAGTTCAATCTTTCAAGTGTATCAGGCATATTATCTACAACATTAAAACTGAGAAAATTCTATAATCAGATTTTTTCACAACGATTTTGTTGTTTTAACGCAGCACTATTCCAGCTATATGATTCTTCACAATGAGGATATTACCTGTGGGAAGTCCCTGAGTACTTCTGACATCTCGTTTCCTCTCTCCCCACATCCGACGTAGACGATGACGTCACTGTTGGAGTACTTGGACAGGGACTGGGAGATGACAGTCTTGCCACAACCAAAGGCGCCGGGGATAGCTGTGGTTCCTCCCTGCACACATCTGGGAAACACACCAACAAACCCAGTTCACACATGTCTTATGTACTGCATGTACAGAAAACAGATACTCGTCCAGTCGGCAACTTCAGACACAAATTAGCACCTGAATTTGAGTGAAACTTAACCCGGTCACATGACCACTGCTAAAAATAGTCCATACATTAACAGCAAAACACACTGAAAATATATGATATAAGAAAGAAAAAAAATGTTTTTGCAGACAAAGGTTTTCCTGGAAATGAATCTTCACATAAGCCAAGGACAGTCTTGGAGACAAATGGATTTTGCTGGAGACCAAATCTTTTAGGGACCGCTCATAAGTTATGGCTAGGGAGGTGATGATGATTTTATTGGGGTTGGGGGGTGGGGGTGGTCAATCAATTTTGTACACAAGAATTAGAAAAAATTATGATTATAAATTAAGGTTAGCGGGTGGGGGGTCATTGATTTTGTACACTTACTTTGTACATAAATTTAGGGGAGGGGTGTGTGTGTGTGTGTTTCATTCTCATTGTCCATGCCTTTCCATGAAAATCATCATCACACACCCCCTTTGCCATAAATTTTGTACGGTCCCTTATAAGCCAAGGGTTGGCTTGGTATGACTACAAACAGTACCATATGTTAGTCTGACAGGGGGGTTATCATGTGACTGTGTATGTTTCCAGTTCAGAGTCCAACCCTTATCAGCATCTGAGTCCAGTGAAACTGAACTTGGTCTCATGTATACCACTAATTTTGGCACAGGGTCCATTTTGCTGGAGGCCTAATCTCTTTGTGAGTCAGTGAGTGAGTTTAGTTTAACGCCGCACTCAGCAATATTCCAGCTATATGGGCGTCCATAAATTCGAAGTCTGGACCAGACAATCCAGTGATCAACAGCATAATCGATCTTTTGGGAACCGATGACATGTGTCAACCAAGTCAGCGATGACCACCTGAGACAAGAGTCACCATGGGTTGCTGAAGACCTATTCTACCCCGGATCTTCACGGGTCCCTAATCTCTTTGTGAGCCAAGGAATGACTATGACTGTGAGCACCATATTTAAGACTGAAATGTGAGGTTATTATGTGACCTACGGGAAGAGTGAGTCGAGAACTCTCTGTCCAGTCAACAGTGGGTAGTTGGCAGCCAGCTTGTCAGCAGGCGGTCGCATCTGGCGCTCCATTGCGGCCACACCTGTAACATTGTGTGTTTGGTGCGCTCGCCGTCAAACTCTGTCTCCAGAATCACTTCCTGCAAGGGGAGATTACACATATGTTATTCAGCTGTCTTCAGCACGACTCACACGGGTCGGCATATCGTCACAACCTGCCGATTTCCATTCATTGTACAACATGTTTGGTGGTTGTAACGAATATCGACTGATCGATTTGCTACCTCTCACACAATTCAATGTGCCGATATTAGTGTTGATCTCATAATATCTCGCGGTATATTGTTTCCATGGTATCAAAATGTCTGAGGCAGACTTAGCAGCAGTTATCTGCTGTGCGATACTATGTGAAGAAGACGTCAATGCCAAAGTGAAGAAAAAGATAAGTTGTTGGACGAAAGACTGGATTCTCTGTCACGACATGCACGGAGCATACAACCATCTCATTAAAGAACTTGAAATTGAAGATAAACAGTCGTGAAAAGTCGAGGCGTGGTTTCTTTGAAGCCTGTAAACATTCACGTGACACCAAAACTCAATTTGACTACTAACTTGAGCAGGCTGTACACGCTTGTGACACAATTGATATGGGTTTGAGTGGCCGATTTGTACCGTTTTGTTGAATTAGATTAATCACTCAGCCGATACGACTCGGTCGAATTCTGCATATCGATTCAAAGGGCCAATCAGTATGAGTCCGCTTTAAAGGAAAATTCCAATAAGAGATCTTGTCAAAACAGTGATACCTAATATCATGAAGATCAGTAGAGAACAACTGGGGAATTTAAACTATTATTAATATAAGGGTTTTGATAAAGATTATGGGTGTGATCTGTCAGAACATAGGTCCTTTTTTATTGATCTTATCCAAAAAAATCAGGGATGCAACTTGGCGTATCAAACAAGGGTGCTCTCTATGAGCTGGACCACTGAGGTTTGGCTGGACTCAATGAAATCCCGAATCTATAACTTTTAACATCAGGGTTAGGAAAAGGACCAAATTCATGTTAATTTTAAACACTGTTTTGGGATCGTGCATTGTATCAATTAACAATGCTGGGACGAACACTGTAAAATTAAAGGCCCTGTCCATGCATAGCCCACTGTGAACATGGAAACACATCAACTCACATTGACATCGTATGATCCTGGCTCAGCGATGAACGTGACGGTTCCTTTCGCCTTCGGAGGAACCATGATCTTGTGCTTGATGAGGATGTTTTCATACACCACACCGTAGATGTCGCCACCTGTCACGTGACTCCCGATCTGATGAAGAATGAAATATGCAATTATTTCACAAGCATGGTCTGTAGACAATATCATGCCAACCACACATCAGTCAAAATGAAAAATGAACACAGCTACAAATATATGTTTATAAAGCATCAGCTGGCTTTAAATCTGTCTGTGAACAAGATAAAATTTATCACAGTTTGGAGGTTCTCGACACAAATACCTATATAATAAAAGTACTTAAAACGTAATGTCTCATTTTCTTTTTAAAATAATATTACTCATATTTTCTAAACATTATGTAGTACTAAATAAGATCAATCATGGTGCATACTTCAAAACTGACAGCTATGTGTGATAGCAGGGGGAGATAACTATGCTAGTCATTGACAGATTACTGTAAACGTATTATATTTCGCGCAGGTTTTATTTTCGCGCTTTTCGTGCAAAACATTTTAGCCGAAAAATTTATACAATCATTGAATAAACCTGTCATTCATTCAGTCTAGCCTTCGCCCTGAGTTGTTACCATAACACATCAAGTTTGAAGACAGAAATTCGGAATCTTAAAATGACGACTGATAGTAGCATAAAGAATCATACTTAACTGTCGCTGTAATGGATTTCCCAAAACATAATTAAATAATGAGCCAAATCCCATCAATTAGAATTAGCGAAAACAGCAATGTGTGTTGTGGCCACCATGGACATTGGTCACATGACAGATGGTTTGATACAAAACAGATTACCATGAAACGACTCGAAAGAAATAATACAGCAGTATTTTATTTATTCATTAAGATTTTATTTACCAGTACATCATGAAGCGAATAGTCACTTAACACTCAATCATCTCATTCACAACAACCTGGCTTGTTTGAAATCACAAAGAGCTTCATATACAGTGGAAGTTAATTCGTCAGATCGTCAGAATTCGGAACATAAGCCTGATGTGTTTTTCATCTCTTCCGTGAGTAAACGGATTACTGTGTACTAGTATATCGCACAGATAGGGATTTCCTGTGAGTAAGCAATAAATGCCGCCTGACAGGTTAAGCCACCCTGTTTGTTTTCACTGCTATTAGTGGCGGCCAAAGAGACAGCTGGCAGTTCCGGCAATTACTGATTGCGCGAATAATTGACCGCTCGATGTAGTCTAAACTGTCAATTCCGCGAAAATTGCACCATGCGAAAATAAGTATGTTTACAGTAATTCAAAACTGACAGCTATGTGTGATAGCAGGGGGAGATAACTATGCTAGTCATTGACAGATTAATTCAACACTGACAGCTATGTGTGATAGTAGGGGAGATAATCTTTCACTGAGTAACACAGTTACCTCCCATGGTATAGGTCAGTATGATATACACTGAAAGACTGCATTCGTAACTACTCGTCCCTTTCCGTAACCTGAAAGAAGACTCGTACCCCTCTCGTAGCCATGTCCCGGAGAAATATTCCCCTAGCCAATCAGAATGCGTATATGTAGAGAAGAAATTGGGTCAAAATAGTTAGTTGAAATAATTTTCATTTTGACTTGCATAATTTTTTCCCAGACACTTCAAGGATATTTTAATTATTGCATAGTCCTAGGGTTTCCTGAATTTTATAACCAGGTTATACTAATATTATGCGTAGGATATTTAAGCATGTTGTTTACCCTTTAAGTAAACTCAGAGTTACATGCCCTGTTTTCCAAGAAAATAGTTACATGCCCTTGAAAATAGTTCGGCGACTAGGCTATTTCTTTCTCTTTGCGCTTTTGCGCATAGACAGAGTCAAGTTCAGTAAAATGGCTATGAGAGGGGTACGAGTCTTCTTTCAGGTTACGGCAAGGGACGAGTAATTACGAATGTGAAAGACTGTGGAAGAATCTTTCATCAAGCTTCAGAAAAAAATTCATTTCTGAAAAAATTTAATTACTAACTTTAGTGTACCATATAATTACAAGAAAACCATCAAAATGTACATTGTTATAGTATAAGTGGTCCCATGACATCGGAGATAATCACAACAAAAATATTGATTAAGCATAAGAACGTAACGTATGTTGTATTTGGGATTACACTGTCTCAGTAAAGTATTGATTCTAGTACTTTTATTGGGTTGAGTCCCATCAGGGATTCAAACCCACATCCTAAGAGTCAGGCACCTAATCACAATTATAACACGTTACATTTGACCATTTTCTAAATGGCATTGTGTATTCAAAGCATAAATTGAGTAAAAGAACATCCAAAGAAACTAATTCTATTCACCCTGATGTTGAGGGGCTCGAAGTCCCACTTCTTGGATCGGTCCAGGGCTGGCGTGTTGACTCCCTTGGGGATGTAGATACTTTGTGTCAGCTCGGAGATGTCTTCCAGTGGACGCTGGATACCTGCACACAGTGGGTGAGTGAGGATGGTTTAACGCCTCTGCTAGCAATATTCCACCAATATCACATCAGTATTGACGTCACTTTGAGTGAATGATATCTGACACTAGTCACAATATATCAGCGATATCACACCAGGGTTTAACACAACACTGAGTAGTGAGTGAGTGAGTGAATCAGTGAGAGAATTGGGTTTTCGCCTCTTTTAGCGATATTCCAGCAACATCATTGTAGGGGACACCAGAAAAGGGCTTCCCACGTACATTGTACTTCTGTAGGGAATCAAACCTGGGTCTTTGGCATGATGAGCGAACGCTTTAACCATTGGGCCACCCCACTGTTCCTCAACACTGAGTAACAGCGAGGATGCCTGTCACAATATTTCAGCGATATCACACCAGGTTTAAAAGGCATTTTTCCATCAATATCACATCAGTTTTGACATGATTTTGAGTGAATGAATTAGTTAACAAGAGAATGTTATTGGACATGGGTCACAATATTTGTGCAATAACACAACAGGGTTTAACACAACGAGTGAGTTAATGTAATATTATGCCGTTCACAATATCCACATCAGCAGTATTTTAGCCATATAGTGACTTAAACAAGTTACACATTCATGACACATAAACACAGAAGACACAAACCTGTTGACAAACTAGAGTCAAAACAACCAAAACATCACAGATACCTGTTAATAGAAGTCAAGCTTTGAAGATTTGCCACAGCATCTGTACAATGTTACAGCAATGGAGGTACCTAATGCCACAGAAACTTATAGATCTTAGGAAAAAAACGGGCCCAGATGTACAACTAGCACATAAATGTAAAACTAGACAAAAAATTACAATATACAACAGGCTATAGATCGCCAACAACTGAAGGTAGAGGTAGATCACCTTGCTAAGTGACCGTTCATAATGATGATGATGATGATGATGATGATGATTTTAATGGGGTCACCCATTTTGTTCTGGGGAGGTGGGGGGTCATACGTTTTGTACACATGTACTGGGTGGGGTGTGTTGCATCATTGATTTTGTACATAACATGTGTGTGTGCGTGTTCGTCATTGATTTTGTACATAACAGGGGGTTACTTACTTTGTACATAATAATGGGAAAGAGAATTTCAGACTGTACATGCTTCTCCATAAAAATCATCATCACCCCTCGCCCTAGCCATAAATTACAAACGGTCCCTAAGAAACAAGAGATGCACACACACAATCTTACCATCAAAGATGCTACCCATAATTCCTGGTCCAAGCTCGACGGAGAGAGGTTTTCCTGTTCTCAGTACAGGGTCACCCACAGTCACACCAGCTGAGTTGGTCAAGGAGGAAACAACACCAAGTTATACCTGCACGCAGGGATTTACATTGAGTCCTATGTTTGAGGGTCCCTGGGACTCATACTCTTAATTTTCAGGGGTCCTGGACTACAAAATGGGGGTCCCAGACACTTAAATATTATTATTAATACTATGTAGTAATATTGTAACTCAGTGTTACTGTGTATCATGATCATCATGATGTTACAGTAATTAAATTGCAAATGATACCATAACCCGGCTAGTAGCAGACTCAGTGAAAACTTATTGTTACTTTATCGATTTTTAACAAAAAAGTATTTGGACTTTTTCTGCGTCCTTGTGGACGAGCTAATAAATTTTGTTGCGTCCATTGTCAAATTTTATGTGTACAAGACGCAGGAATTTGTGTCCCGTAAATCCCCGCTGCACGCTCATCAGCAGGTCACAGGTCCTGCATGCACTCCATTCCTCCATGACTCATGAATACATACAAATTGTTTGGGAGCGGTTAGATTTTTATAACAATTCAAGACAGCCTTGATCCAGATGGAACCTAGTAAGAGCTCAGACCAATCAACACAGAGATCACGTCACAGAAACAATAACATGTTTCATGTGCTATGGCCTCGATGCATCAGCTATAGACGTTGCTCTAGTATTTAGGGTGAAAGCGGTATACCAGCGGTATTAGATGAACCAGCGGTATTTTGCCTTCGGTTCGGTTATACCATAATGCAATCCCAAAATTCGGTATTTTCAGTTTTCGCACCGCAGATTTTATTCACCTTTTAAACCTTTTCTAAAATGTCATGAAATCGAATCATTTCATAAAATCTATGCATTTCTTTGCTGGACGGCTATTTTCTTGGAAGTAAGTTCGAGATCGCCTCAAGTCGCTCTACTTACAAAGTCAGCAAGACAGGAAATGCAGATACCAGATCAGTAGCTGGGTTCTGTTCCTTTTTCAGTTATTTCAAATCAGACGAACATCGTAATAACTTATAAAAGACAACTTTATCATAAAGACATACCATCAGCCGAGTACTCACCATGTTTGCTCTGATGCAACACACAGCGTTATATAGTGAGTAAACATGCCATCCAAAAACGTATGATGTAAAAACTCATAATAAAATCTTCTTCGATCTCATTTAATTTGATAAAATTTAATCCCATTTCCATTCAGAAAAAACACTGTTTACAGTAACATCGGAGAAAACGCGTGTGAAATGGCATCACCTCATTCTATACGCGTACCACTTCCACTTACCATGTTCATGAGGGTCTGCTTTTCCACGCCTGCAGCGATAGCACTAATTTCACATTATTGTCAGTAATCACGAACTGATTACCGCCCCGTCATCCATATACCCCTAGACCCGCGTTATTGACTCACTGAAGTCATGTTTCACAATTAATTGCCAACATTTTGTTTTCACAAAGTGGCATGCTCCACAGGAAGTCAACAGAGAATTGTTAAACTGTCTCTTCATACGTGAAATGTTTCCAGCCACGCGTAAGTGCTGAGCCTATGTTAATTATTATTTTAAATATGTTCGTAGAGCATGCATAATGCTAACACGCATAGCAATAAGTATTGTCTCTATTAAAATAACTGCTTGAGATATTTAAATTATTCTGGTATTTGAATAAATTCTTTGATTTCATATTTTCAGTTCGTTTTAACTGAATCACCTGGTAGATTGAGCAAAACATTTGTACACAGCTGATTGCTATTTCCGGCTTAGATAAATAACAGGTAGCATAATGGGAAGGAAAACTGAATTATCATGTGCTGTGATGTTTGATTGCAGGTTTCCTATTCAAATTTTCATTTGCAAAGTTTGTTTCTTCACCTCGATATGATATAGTTTTGACTGGGCACAATACACGAAATAGCAGTTCTGTTATGTCCATGGAAAATACGATTTTACTTGGCCTTTATTCTGTGTTATGTATAACAAGGGAGGCGAGGGATGACTGCAATTATTGGTATGGATCTCGTGGCTTTCCCATCACAGCCTTTTGTTTGTTTGTTGTTGCTACCACAACAGAAAGATCTGAACTGATCTCATTACAAGCAGTATCAGCACAACGAACATTTAACAACCAATAAAGAGAGAAAGGAGCCAAAACATATTTGTTTCAAAAAGGAAAATTATATTTTTGAATGAACTTTAAAAGATATTTTGATTGAATCTGAAAATTGAATAAAACATGACTCTGGAATGTGCCAAGATTGTGTATCAGTACTTCCCAAGGACTGTGGACAGTCTCTAAATGTTTAACATACTGAAACGAGAGAAAGACAATGATTTAGAACAATGACAATGATCAGTCATACAGACAGTAACTATCTTATGACAACTGTATTGTGTTAATTTCTTTAATTTCTTTATCTGTGATATGTCATCAACAGATTCACATTCGACAACATCTTATTTGTGTATATGTTTCTAAAACATGAACATTTCTGGAATATAGTGGTGATTTCATTGCAGTAAATGTTGATGTGATGTTAGTGAATTTTAATCATACTTGGCTAATTGCTATTTTGTCACACAGCTGTGAGCTCAAAGGTTCCAGTGATACTTTACGTCTTCTATCTAGTCAGGACATGACAGTTTTGCTCATTTAAAGGCACAGATTATGATTATTATTTCTGTGTCATTAAGCAATGTAAGGTTTAGCTCTTTTTGTCCATTTTTTGCATTATGATCATATCTCATATACCGAACCGAAACGGACCGTACTGCAATACGTACCGTACCATGGTAAGAGCGTACCGTTTCACCCCTACTAGTATTAAGCAGTTGTAGTTCTGGCACAGATTTTAGACAAGAGCACAGATGACAGATTTCTGTATTTTGCACTGCCTCATTTTTTTGACAAAGATACAATTTATTACCACACCTTATCCCTGTGTTTATTATATCATAAAGTGATTATTACCCTGGTATGTTTCCGTATCAAAACTATTATAAATAAAAATATAAATCAAAGACGGAGAATAAAAATGTCATACACTTGCAAAAAGCTTGCCTAATACAATTTGTATTCTGATGTGACAAAAAACATGCTCAATTTCATACTTTTCATTGGCCTTTTTGTAAAATGGGATAAAGATGATTAAACTTTGATTGCATGTAGATGAGAACAAAGACACACTGTTTGTACCCATGAAGCAATTAAATATGATTTTACTTTGAGCTTGTATTGGGCAAAAACAGTCTGGACTAGGCTCTAATAAGAAAGCTCCAGTGGAGTGAGTGAGTTTAGTTTTACGCTGCACTCAGCAATATTCCAGCTATATTGCGGTGGTCTGTAAATAAATGAGTCTGGACCAGGCAATCCAGTGATCAACAGCATGAGCAGCTCCAGTGCAAGGATACAGGTGTCTTCGTAGACCTGGATGGTGGCCATGTCGCCCTCCAGCCTGATGATCTCTCCCACCAGCTCGGCGTGACCCACACGTACCAGCTCGTACATAGCCGCGCCCGACATCTGCTGCGCCGTCACCACTGAAACATGTTACCATGGTCATCAACAAACTCAAAACATTTATATACAATATTCCACATAGCGAGTCAGGTTTTACGCCGCTTTTAGCTAGATTCCAGCAATGTCATGGCGAGGGATACCAGAAATGGGGTTTACACATTATACCCATGTGGAGAATCCAACCCGGGCCTTCAGTTGATGAGCGAACACTTTAACCACCAGGCTACCCCAGTGCCCCAGTGTTCCAAATAAAGAACGCAAATGAAACAAATATCAATCATTATATTATCAATATACCTCATGAAAGTCAAGGAGTCTTCATTTGTAGTGAGGGAGTATGTTTTTATGCCACTTTTAGCAATATTCCAGCAATATCACGGCGGGGAACACCAGAAATGGGATCCACACATTGTACCCAAATGGGGAATCGAACCTGGGTCTTCGGCGTGACAAGTGAACGCTTTAACCACTAGACTAAACCACGGCCCTGTCTTCATTTGTAAAAAGAGGAGATCCCTAGATAATCATAGAACATAATATAACTATTATAAGACCTCGACATGCTCAATGATCCCAAGAATTCACCTAATTCCAAATGTCCATGCAAATTAAATAATGTGAGGATTTTCTAAACAATGGCTATTTCGTATTGTCTATATCAAAGTTGATCCATTTCCCTTCTCCACTTACCAGGGCCGGATACAGCGTAAACATATCCAAACATGGACTCCTTCTCGTTGTCCCCGATCTTCGGCATACGCCGTGCTCTGTCCATTCCTCCTGCCTGGAAATACACACAGAAAAGGTGAGGTGAGGTGAGGTGAAATTGGGTTTAACGTCGTACTTGAGAATATTTCGCTCATATGACGACGTGCATGCGTGTGGATGTGTATGTGCGGCTGCTTGTACTAGCCCAGGCTTAAGCTGGTTTTATAGTGCTAGCCCACTGAGATACCATGCCGCAGTGAAGCATGAATACCCCAATCAGACTCCGAGCCGACCAGTCCTTGTACCCATTAATGCCGAGCGCCAGGCACACACAGAAAAGAACTTATTACAAGAAAGCAGGCAATAAATATATGTATACACACAATAGGAATTTCTCTCCCATGCGTTTCAACTTTATCATCAGGGTTACAATTTTTTAAAATTGTATTCATTCATTCTTTCATTCTTTCGTTCCGCGTTGCGACGGGTGACAGTTATGAGATAAGTTTCTTGGAAGGAACATGAACTTTTTGAACATGAACTTTTTGTACATACACTGCTTAACACAGGTTCCAGGGGTTTCAAGGTCAAAGCATGTTACAATTGTTCACATAGCAGGCAATACTGTTGTGTGGCTCAATGGATAGTTTGCATGTCAAACACCAATACCATCAGAACACAGTGAGGGCGAAAATGCCATTTTCAAAATTCTTTTCTGAGTGAGTGAGTGAGTCAGGGCGAAAATACAGTTTTCAAAATTCCTTTCTGAGTGAGTGAGTGAGTGAGGGTGAAAATACAGTTTTCAAAATTCCTTTACTGAGTGAGTGAGTGAGTGAGGGCGAAAATACAGTTTTCAAAATTCCTTTACTGAGTGAGTGAGTGAGCAAGCAAGCGACCACAAGTCCCAGTGGCTGATCGGGTAAGGCGGCTGACTTTGTGTGCTGGCGATTAGGTGCCTGACTCTGAGGGTGTGGGTTCGAATCCCGGATGGGACTCAACCCAACAACAGTACTAGAATCTGTACTTTACTAAGAAAGTGTAATCCCGAATAAAACATTGTTACATCATGATGGGGTAGCACATATGTACAAAACATATTTCAATCATTGAGATAGTTCTCATTTTCTTGTTTTATCCACAAAAGTTGAATTCCAAAAGAAAAGCAAAACCATCAATGGGTTTACTTGTACATGTTTGTGTCTGTAAACATGGTAAATGTGTGTGCCAGTCTATGTGCCTATTTCATAATTATGCCAACAGCAGCCAATAATTATAGTAATTTGTATTTTGTTTACTGCTTCAGTGAGCTATATTCCATTTACGTCTCATCATGAAACTCTTGAGTTTAGTTTTATGTCACTTTTAGCAATATTCCAGCATTATCACAGCGGGGGACACCAGAAATGGGCTTCACACATCATTCCCAAGTGAGGAATCGAACCCAGGTCTTCAGCGTGACGAGCGAACACTTTAACCACTAGGCTACCCTATCGCCCCCTATCATGAAACTAAAGGTATTTCTATCCCTCTTCAATTTCAAATCCTAAACTCTGCTCATATAATTCTGTTATAATGCAAATTTTAAATGATTTTCTGTGGCTATTCTGACATTCATTATTTCAGCATGAATATTAATGAGACACATCCAGAGGATGGCTGCTACTCAAGGGGCGACCATACATATAATCGGACAGTTCGAGTTACTGACCAACTGCTGCACATACAGTATTGTATTTAGTAGGGCTGCAACGATTCGTTTCGATTCATTGAAAATCGAATCTGACAACTTATTTTCAAATTTCAATAACCATTATTACTATTTCGATTCAATATTTGAATATTTATTTAACTTATTTCCACACAGCGAGAACATAATTTTGACTCCAACTCGAGCAGTTACGAGCACTGAAATAAGGCAAACCATAATTGGTTGACGCCGGGCTAATTATCTGTGTTTTTTTAATAAAAATATAATTTATGAAGTTTATACTTATCCTGACTCATACTAACTGCTCTTGTATATGACTCATTTTGAGTCAAAATAAAGTAAAATTGGAAAATTTACAAAACTCTGTCTACAAATCTTATTCATTCTGACAAAAAAGAGACTTTTTCCCAAACAGACAAAAGTCCAGGATAGACTCTGAAAAAAACAAATACATTCCTCTGGTTTATATTTAAAGTTTTATTGACAAAAAATAAAAGAAACATAAAACCTTAAAAATTTGCAAAAATCACAAAACCCTGTTCACAAATTTTACATTATGACAAAAAGGAGACTTTCTCCCATACAAACAAAAGTCGAGGCTACACTCTGCATCAGAAGAGGGACAGTGACCTATGTTCTATTGCTTCTCATCAAACCCTAGCTAGATAACCACTCCCTATCAATGTTTATTTTTCAACTACAGCATTGTAATATCTACACTCATGAGAGTTTTCTTGTCAAAGTCACCTTCTAGTTTTGAAGCTCGTCGATTGCTTGCGCTGCTAGGCAGATAAAGTATGTATTGACACAGAGCTAGTTAAGTACATCCAGACACGGCTAGAGAGCTGTGCTTAAACCACAGCCTGTGATTCTTGTCTACACTGTCCTTCTTAGGGAGTACATATGTATTTAAAGAAATTTCCTTGCTGGATTCAGCTTAACACACATATTTCCTGTTTGGATTAGATACACTTCGTTTGAAACAGTTAAAGCATTTTGTACATATCATTTGACTTAACCTTAAAATTTTGGATTCCATTCCTAACTATTTTGATGAATATTTTGAAAATATTGACTATTCATTACTGAATAATTTTCTGTTTTCAGATGAAATGACATACTTCAAATCCATAATACATGTACCTTTGATGCACAGATGTTTCAATTTAGCTTCTAGAGATTTTTTACTTGTCAAAAGAAAGATACAGAAATAGTCTTATCTGATTTTGAGGGTCACTGGGAGGGTCTTGTTTCAAATTTCTGCATCCATGGTGACATCAGGTATGTGTATTAACTTTAACAAACATAATTTAGTGGCAAGTCACATTTCCCAAATCAGGGTCCTGACCTACAAAGTATTCACAGGGATTTACACGGCGCGAATTCCTGCGTCCTATACGCATAAAATTGACAATGGAAGCAACAAAATGTATTAGTGCGTCCACAGGGATGCAGAAAAATTCCAAATAAGTTTTGTAAATATTTCAATCAAGTAACAATAAGTTATCACTGAGTCTGCTACAAGCTGGGTTAAAGTATTATTTGCAGTTTAAATTAATTACTGTAACAATGTGATCATGATAATCAAAAACTGAATTACAACAATATTACAACATAGTATTGATAATAACATTTAAGTGTCTGAGACCCCCATTTTGTAGTCTAGGATCCCTGAAAATTAAGAGTATGAGTCCCAGGGACTCTCAAATACAGTACTCAAGGTAAATCCCTCTTCATAATATTTTTGATTAATCGGAATTTTGTTGTTGTTGTATAACACCCTTGAATTAAGTATACTGACCATTTAATTTGATGAATATTCACGAACAAACATGCGCTCAACAGCGTAAAGCTATGCGCATTGTAGAATTTTAACCACTTTTATTGTGGAATTACAATTCAGTGTCTTACTTGCATGCGTGCATTTCATTGCATGACAGTATTAGTTATTAAAATCATTAATTAGAAAAAACCTGGGGGAAAACCCTTAAAATTGGTGATTACATTTAAAATGTATATATTTCGATTATAATCAATAATCGTTCACCACAAGTCCTCCGATAATGTATAGTGGATTTGGTTTCCGATTCCCAACACTACTTCGAACGCTTTATAGATTGAGACCCTGAGCTGTAATATTGCTGACTTCAGCTTAAAAACACACTATACAATGCCGTATCACAATGGCTACACTCATATTGTACACAGGGATTATGTGAGGTGAGTGTACCGACCAGCTCTTTGTACAACTCAGTAACAATGCATCAGTCCTGGAGAACCAAACAGCACGTTCAGCCTTCAGGGAAGGACTCCATGCATTCACAGACAGTTTGAAATCAAGGAGTTATAGGGATTCAGATTCCTATAATAATTTGCAGTCTCATATACAAGGATTTCCCAGACACAGACAATCTGTAAGGATGTTTAGGAATATGCTGCCATTTCATTATTTGGTATCACTTGAAATTAATCAGTTAAAATATACAGCCCAGTCAAATCTCTCAGAGCTGACACTTCAGGACGCCATATTTATTTTAAACTAAGCCCCTGATCATGAGCACCTTGCATCACTTGTGGTTCAGTACATTTTAACAAACCCACTACCCCAAATTTAAATTCAAAAGACTATGTTGTCCCAAACAGAAGTAACTATTGAGCAAATAAATATGATAAAGAATCACTTCAGGAACTAATGTCATTAAAGTCTCAAATTGGGCATGCCTAACGATGTATTAGATAATTTACCAGGATTCCAAGTGAATTTTCCTTGGCAGGCAAATATGAAAATTTTAATAGTGTTAAGGATTCAATTTAAAAGTAAAAACTCAAGCCTGTTCCATTGGTTATGTCGGTGAAATGCAACTCAACTCTGCTAATTACAAGACTTTCTTAATTGAATTCTATATTACAGTTTTTAATTCTGATTTAAGGATTTCTACTGATATTTTGCTTCATACTTGGGACAAATGTTGATCTCTGATACGAAATCAGGGTATGTACATTGTACTTCAATAACTGACTTTTACTTCAGCCTTGGGGCGGAATATTGATCTCTGATCCGTCCTTGATAAAATCTGTGCATGTACTTCAAATATATAAAAATAAGGGCTGGGTGGGGCCTAGAGAAACACTCATATGGAGTAAATCCACCAGGATGTGAGAGGCTGTTTAAATACACCTGTGTGACCTTCAGTAAGACAGGATCCAGGACATACCCAGTACAACTCCTGTTACTCAACCTTGTCAAATATCTAAATCCAAAATGTATGAGATTCTATGGGGTTCTTTTGGCAATTTAGTGTTTTTTAATTCATCTGTATAAGCAGATTATTTGTTATAAATAGTTTCCAAACATCTTTCATTTCGATGAGTTCAAGTTGTTTCCTGAGGTTTCAGATTAACAAGGTCTTGTTGAATAAATTTCCACTGATAATTTAACGTCTACATGTGGATAATATTGATACATATTTATATAATCTGCAGTTATTTTCATCTAGAAGACAACTAGTTGATGTATATATCTTAGTATGACAAAACATGTCCATATTGGATGAGTATAAATTACCATGTTTGATTGTAATCCATAGATTAAATCAGTGTTTATAATATATAATTACAAAAAACAAACATTATCTATAATAAATATTGAGAAAATTCTGAGGAGTTTCAACATCTTAACCTAAATGAGATTCAACCTCAAATTGGGGCGGTGGGGTAGCCTTAATGGTTAAAGCGTTGGCTCGTCACGCCGAAGACCCGGGTTCGAATCCCCACATGGGTACAATGTGTGAAGCCCATTTCTGGTGTCCCCCGCCGTGATGTTGCTGGAATATTGCTAAAAGCGGCGTAAAACCAAACTCAGTCAGTCAGTCAGTCAGTCAGTCAACCTCAAATTCAAAATGAATCCTAGACTCCGAATTCTATCAGTTTTTAATTGTGAACATATGAAATAGTTCGTTAAGATGATTACCAGAAGCACCCTTAGTTTATAGCATGACCTTCACAAAAGTCCTCATCCTTATAGCTTGTCATAGCAATGTGACCGTCAAACCACAAACACGTATTTATTTGTTCCACATATGTCGTTCAGCTGAATATTTTAAAGCCGGTAACAGCTGTGGCGTGGATAAACGCATCGTCTTTAAGCTTATACTTCCTAAAACCATCACTGACGTGGTATAATGAGTGATCACTTCAGAATAATCCAATCAGCGGTCAATCAATCAATCAATATTAGAAAGAGGAGGAAGTTACATTTTGGCTGTGCGGTATGAAAATATTCACCAGATTTTCTCTCAAAAGCGATTATGTAAAAGCACTTGATATGAAATGGAAACACTACACTACAGTAAGAAAAGCAGAAATAATTCAGTAACTATAAGTAGTAGATTCATAAAATAAAACCGGCACTCGTGATAGACCAACTCACCATGTTGATGTTCCTAAATCATGTGATCTTGACCCTCGTAATATTCCGGGAAATGACGCGAGAGAGGCCGATTTTGACATATCGTATGTGCCTTACAACATATTATATATGTCAACAGAGAATGCGGTACTCAGATGGACGTTGATTATTTCTTTGTAATTACAAACACCTAGTTACTACTCTTTACCGTGACATTTACTAAATATGGAGACATTATAGGTTTACGTTGATGTATCGTAATGAATCTCTCATCGTAGTAATTTTCAATGTAAATCAGGTTTATCGCTATCGGTGGAAGGAAGCGGCACGGTATCTCCTAACCTAAGATATTTTCTCCCGAAATTGAAAAAAAAATAATTGAATTGCTCCCTTAACGTTCATTCTGCTGTGAAGATAAGACAACAGTCTGCAAGAAATCGAGGAATACTCTTTCTGGTTTTGTTTGGTCCGTTTGAAAACGAAAAAGTCAAAACCCGAGGTGTAAAACCTCAAGTACAAGGCAGTGTAATCAATGATGAATTGGGTGTGTTCCATTAGCATAAGAGTGAGTGAGTGAGTGAGTGAGTGAGTGAGTGAGTGAGTGAGTGAGTCAGTGAGTGAGTGAGTATGGTTTTAGCAGTATTCCAGCAATATCATGGCGGGGACACCAGAAATGGGCTTCACACATTGTACCCATTTGGGGAATAGAACCCGGGTCTTCGGCGTGACGAGCGAACGCCTTAACCACTAGGCTACCCCACCGCCCATTTAACATAAAACCAGCTCAAAGAGTATGCTGCCTGCATGGTCGGGTATATCAGGAGGTCGGAGGTCGCGTCATACGAAATGACGTATGTTTGCTGTTCAACAATATGTCCGCCATATGTCGGTGGTCTGTAAATAATCAAATCTGGACGAGACAATCCAGTGACCAACAGCATGAGCATCGATCTACGCTATTGGGGTACGATGACATGTGTCAACCAGATCAGCGAGCCTGACCACCCGATCCCGTTAGTCGCCTCTTACGACAACATACTTGTTCTTGCCCTGCCTGGTGCACGGCATTCGAAGATTTGGTCGGTTGGTTGTTTAACTCAACAATATTCCAGCTATATGGCGGCGGTCTGTAAATAATCCAGTCTGGACCAGACAATCCTGTGATCAACAGAATGAGCATCGATCTACGCAACTAGGTTATGCTGGGATCTAGTCAAATGGGCCGAAGGACAAAAGGGTCGAGAAGTGCCAAGTCAAATGGGCCGTGACAAAAAGTCAAAAGGGCCGAGGTGAAAGTCAATTTTTTATTTTTCGGCCTTTTTTTCAGCCTTTTCGACTTTTCATATCGGCCCTTTTGACTTTTTTTCGGCCCTTTTGTCCTTCGGCCCTTTTTACTACAACCCATGATGACCAAGTCAGCGAGCTTGACCACCCGGTCCTGTTAGTCGCTTCTTGCGACAAGCATTGGTTACTGAAGACCAATTCTTACCCGGATCTTCACTGGTCGGCATTCGAGGAATAAAACCTCCTCAGCTCGGACGTAGTGTAGTTGGCCACCCAGTATCCGGGATAAATGCGGGTGAAGATCTATGGGCCAGTTATAAGGTCATGACTAGATTAAACATGCCCACACAGTCTAACACAGCAGCAGCGCCACACAGCCACACACACACGCACGCACATACAGCCACGCACACACCTGCAACCCCCACCCCCACCAACCTCCTACCTCCACCCCCGAAAACAAACATACTCTCGTGCAGAAGTGCAATAATTTCTCTATTTTAAACTCGTATGTACGCCTAAACATTTCCCATGATTGGGTTGGGATTCGAACGACAGCAAGATCCCCGAGTCAAACTTAGCCAACATGGCCAAGCTGAAGACATTACTAACTTTCAGTGGTTGGATGAGTTCGAGTTAACATTTGACTGTCAGGGTTAACCGAGGTCCGACGGTCCAGGTTCGAATCCCAGAGAAAGCCAATTATGATGCTTGGTCCGGTCTGTCAGAACCAGTGTGTTGGTTTCTCTAAATAAATTAAGCACACAATCTACACGTTGAGTTGTACTTCCATATCAGTTGACAAATTAGCAGGTACATTTGGAGTATTGCTGAAATTGGCCAATTTGAAAATCCTTGTTCAATGGATATTTTCTCTTTTTCTCTCGTTATAAATGACTTTTTTCAAATCAAACTTTTCAAATAAGTAACGTGTAAAATACGCCCCAAGGTGACAACACACCCTAAACTTTGTTGCTACTGAGTGTTTGTCAGCGATTTTCATCAATATATTGTTGTCATACATGTAGTATTTCCGGAAGCGCATGCGAGTTGTCGATTATCTGAAGTTCCGGTAGTGCGGCGGGAAGGAGCACGAGAATTGGCGTTCACTTTAAAGAAATCTGGCCTCCTGTCCAAGCATGACAAAGTTGTATTTTAAAATCTTGAAATGGATACAGTAAAGCATATTATTTGTTCAGAAAGGCAGTTTTTCGAACCCTTCATTCAGCAAATGGCATCCTTTCCCAATATTTAATGACGTGATGTCGGAAAATCTAGACTTGATCAGTCATGTTGAGCTGGGAAGAGGCATGTTGAGGGTATCATATTGATATGCGCCATCGTATTGATGTCGATTAAAAAGCATGATAATACTGACATCATTTACACCATGTAGGGCAGTTCACGTATTTACATTGTTTCTATGGAAGGTCAAATTTCGAAACGGTTACGAACAGGTGGAGCTCGGACGGGTACGACCCCCAAATCCAAACCAGGAAAACGTCCCGAGTTTGTTAGCACTGACCCTGAAGTCATGCACAAACAGCAGGAGAAAATGGAACTTTCTTTTTTAGGATTCAGTCAATTATCTAGTGAAATTCGTTTCATGTCAAATTTCAGTGATTCGTTTTAGTTGTTGACTGGTGGGAGGGTGGAAGGTTGTCAACCTGGCTAGGAGTGTTGGGGTAGCCCAGTGGTTAAAGAAGGGTTCCCTTGTCATGCCGTTTCTGTGTTCTATGTTCGATTCCCTACGTGGGACATTTCTGGTGTCCCCTGCCCTGATATTATTAAAAGGGGTGTTAAACCATACTCGCTCACTCTAAACCGGGCTAAATTGCAATACGTCCGAAGATGCTGCCTATGTACAGGAATATATCACTTTCTCGTACACAGAAAGCATGCACCTGGACATTTTTTAACTCTTTACTTAAATTTGCATCTCTGGTTAGTGAAAATTAACATGTAGTTAACAATCATAATTTTTTATGATCTCTATTGACAGGCAATAAAAATATAATACCAACTTTCTTTTTTATTGAGTGAAATAGGGAAAAAACATTTTTGGAAGTTGGAAACGTTTTACAGCTAGATAAAAGTGTTGACATGGTTGATACTAACATATGTTCCTTTGTTGCAGAGGTCCTTGAACTCACACACAACATGCAGCTCAAGCGATTTAGTGCTTCCGTCACCTACAATGACTTCTTGTCCTAGAAGTGCGGAACATGCAAAACTTGGTAATTGTGTTAATGTTTCATGTTTCAATTGTTAGAATCTCCTTTCATTTTTAATTTGAAATCTAAATGCTACCTTTGGAAAATGTTTGTAAAGCCTTTGTCAAAATATCTTCTAAAAATTCACTAATTTTGATAGTACTCTTCTCCTACCAATCTAGTATTTGAAGTTATTTTATGGTCTAAATATATATATTATTTTTCCTTATCCTGACTCATGCTCTTTTGCCTTCTTCTTACGCATAGTGGAACACTTGTATCTCCTTATTTGTCCTTCAAAATAAAATCACCACCCGAGTTGCTCCCTTTGTCTCCTGGCGGAAAAAGGTGTCGCCAATGCTCTGGCCATATGTGCTTCTCTCCTTCTTAAGCCCAGTGAGCAGGATGTGAGAGCCTTGTGTCTCCTTACACACATATCCTTTGATAATCTCTTAGTTTTACCCTCTCATAGGTTACTATAGAGGTATAGCTAGTATCCTTTACTATTTGTATTGATTAATTATCGTTATTTCTACTGTTTATTCCGTGTATTACGTGATTGTTCAGCTAACTTTACGTTCATGAAAATCTATGCGATTTGTAGATTACGTTTTCTGCCTCGATCCACATGTAATATGCCCTAGTTGTTCTACGTGTGTGGCGTTTAATTCCGTTGCAGTTACTGCATTAATTTATCTCATTCTGCATTTAATAAATATCATCTTTGCGTCTTAAGGCGTGCTGCAGATAGATCACGCAAACAAAGGGCAAAACATGGCGAGAGTCCAGATATTCCTTCCAGTCAGCTGCTAGCGATCGACCCTCTCCCGTCTGGTGTTCTGCTAGAGACCCCTGCGGCAGAGGCGATGGGGCGCAGTCCGTTACCTCGAAGAAGCGACCGGCCTCCCCAGACATCCCGTCATTGCAGACTAAGTCTAAGAGGGCCTCATCGTCGTCTCAGCGCAGATTGAGGACACCCAGGGCAGCGCAGACTTCCAAAGGGAAATCTACGAAGACAGCAAGAACTTTCTCAGCGAGATCGTTCCAGCAGCAGAGTTGGGCCTCTACGATGATCAGCCGATAATCATCCCGACTTACGGCAGAAGAAGCGGCCGGTGTCAGCGACTGTGACTTCTGCAGAGATCTCCATGCAGCCTGATGCCTCTACACCCGGCGTCAGGCGTCATTGATGTGAACCCCTTCGCGCAGAAAAGGCGCCCGGCGACTTCGTCTAGATCATCCCAGAAGACATGATGCGGCAGATTATGAACATCATGGAGGACCACTACACAAACTGCGCCAAGCAGCGTCCGAACCAGCGAAGGCTCCAGCGTAGACAGCACCCCAGAGCACCCCGTCAGCGTGGCAGCCAAGGCGATGTCGTCACCTTTCGCTGAAGGAAGTCCCGCACCACCTTGACGAAGGACCTGGATGTACAGCCTTCGGCGAAGGCCTTAGCGGCGGGAGATCATCACCATCTTCGATTTCATCTCTAGATATGGACTCAGACCATCAGACATCACGGAAGCCTTCAGCGAAGGTCATATCATCGATCCCCGGACGGACGCGCAATGAAGCTTCGCGAAGGCATTCGCGCGACATATGATTCCAGATCTTCATCGTCTAGAAGAACATCGAGGACTGCCGAAGAGCTTCGGCGAAGCTATCAACATTCACCTCACAAGTCTCGAGAAGATCATCCCATAGGCGATCTCCACTCCGTTCATCACCAGGTCGATCACCCATCAGATCTCCACATAGAGCGGTACAAAGTCAACTAGATCGCCACAAACCTCATCAGATATACAGACAGCTACACGCAGTCGAAGAGCATCTACAATTTATTAATGATGATGGTTTGAGGATGATGGAGGAATCATATTTTCTGATGCAGAATCTGTATTGGATGGTCAATAACCTAGATCTCACATCACCATCTAAAAGTGGCAATACAGCTCAGGCGTATTTGATGAAGGAAGATGATCCAGATGCAATCACTCTACCCCGATCGACCCGATTGCGGCAGTGCCACAGAATCTAGATGCAGCTTTCCAGAAAGCTCTCGAAAGTTCAGATACCACATCTACCCAACTTTCAAGCCAAGAAGTTCTCCACGCATAACATGGACTCCTTCTACAAGGCCCAGGACATCGATGAGAACTATAAGATCATCAGCGATGTAAAAGAACAAGATTTACAAGATGGATGATCGCAGAGTTGGCTCATATAGAAACCATGGCGAGGCGTATGTTCTTTGGGTTAAATAGATCTAGGGCGATCAATGAGACTCTTATTACTAGATTCCGGGATTCCACACGACGGAAGATGATAGAATGATTTATTCTGCCTTACTTATGCAAAAGAAAGATCAGCAGTTTTAAGCGGATCATCTTACATCTGTTTCAGCAGCACTGACCTTAGCTTCGTCGTCAAGGCCTCCTCGCCTCCTGTAATTGGGGAGAACTTTACAGCCCCACTTTATACAGCCCGTGGTCGACAACATCCATCTTTGGCGGAGAAATCGACAAGATTAAGCCAAGGAAGTCTCTAAGGATTCAGGGGAAGTCCTTATGATTAGATCGATGGACACACTAGCCAGCATCATTACGTCAGACTTCACAAAGATACTCAGGCAGATCTAAGTTCACGGGCCTACAAAGAGCAAGAGACAGGAAGATAGCCAGCTCTAGAGGTAAAGATTCTTTTAGGTAAGCCCATATGGCAACTATAGAGGAGGATCAGGAAGAGGCAGGACACCCAGAGGTTCCCGCAATTATAGGCAGCTGAAACACAGGTTGAACTGACTGGAGTCTTCCACCCCCAGCCGTTCCAGTACAACCAGCTCAAGTGGGTGGGCGCCTCCAACTACACTGGGAAAACTGGGGAATACTGCAAGATCCTTACGTCTCAACATTATTCAACACGGTTTTCGTATCCCTCTACAGGACAAGCCTCCGCTGACAATCAAACCCCCAAGTTCGATTTACAAAGCATAACAACTACCAAAGATAAAGAGGCTGTCTCATCACTCCTATCCAAACAGGCCATAGAAGTAATAGATCAAGCAAGCGTCGAACCAGGTTTCTACTCCCAGTTTTCCTAGTTCCCAAGAAAACTCCGGAGGAATACAGACTCATCTACAACATGAGCTTTTTCAACAAGAACTATCTACGCCAAACCACCGCGAGAGTTTCGCATGATACATTTACCTCAGTTACGCCAGATGATTCGGTCCTATGGACTACATGGGCAGCATAGATCTACAGGATGCCTACTTGCACATCCCCATTCATCCCGATTCCAGGAAATACCTTACGATTTACTCTAGAAGGGCTACATTACCAGTGGAAAGTACTCCCCATTCGAATATCATCAGCCCCTGGCTATTCACGAGGATAACGAAACCGATTATCAAAATTTCACATCGTCAAAGGGGCTACGCGAGTGCGTTTTACCTCGGCGACGGGATACAAGTAGATCAAGATCCACTGCTCTCAAACTACAGTTAAATTACATCATAAAGCTACTAACACAACTAGGTTGGTTAGTAAACTTACGCTTAAGTCGGACCTAGTACCATCGCCAAGACCTACAGTTCCTAGGTATTCGATTCATCACAAATCGCCAACCCAGTATTATGGTACCAGAAGACCGTTGGCTCAAGATACAACAGACCATTCCACCAGCTCTACTCTCTCGTTACCATCTGCGACAATGGCAGAGCCTACTAGGTTTTCTCACATCAGCCCAAGACATGACTGTCACAGGCAGATTACAGTTACGTCCCCTACAGGTCCTCATCAGCGCACATCTCAACGATGTACAACCATTCAGTCTACCCGAAACATCTCAGACCACATCTACTATGGTGGACCAAGAAATCGAATGTCTGGCGAAGGGATTTGTTTAGCAGAGCAGGAATACAAAACCCATCTGTATGTAGATCGTCACTCAAGGTTGGGAAGCTCATCTCACCAACCACACGATATCAGGGTTATGGAATCAGCAAGAATGCAAACTCCATATAAACAGTCTAGAAATGAAAGCTGTAATCAGCGCCATTCTACATTGGAGCACATTTCTACAAAATGCAGCCTAATGATCCATACAGACAATTGACAGTGGCGTTCTACATAAACAAGCAAGGCTCAACGAGATCGATGAACCTTTTGAACCTAAACTTTCAACTGTTCGATTTAATACAAGATCTAAATCTACATGTCAGAGCAGTGCACATTCCCTCGAGCCAGAAATATACTAGCAGAGGCTTCTCTCGGCCTCATCTACCATCACCCGACAGAGTGGATGATCAACCGGAAATTTTGCACAGATAATCAAGCAATTAGGCGCCGCTAATAGACCCATTGCATGCGATTCAACAATCAGCTACCGACATTCGGTGTCACCAGTCCCAGACCCCCAAGCTTGGGCAACGGACGCTAAGTCTATCATGGGAAGGCCTCAATGCGTGCGCGTTGCCGCCAGCAATAATACCTCAAGTATTACAGAAAATCAGACAAACACAGAGCCTACAACTCACTTTGGTCGCGCCTTCTACTGGCCGGTTGCAGAACGTGGTTTCCCATACTAATTCAAGAAATCGGTCAACCAACACTGGAGCTACCCAAGCGCCAAGAAACCTGTTAATTCATCCTCACACCAAACAAGTGCATCGGAAACCCAGCAATGTTCCAGCTACTACACGGACTGGACTGTATACAAATGTGTTTAAACAAGAGAGGATATTCTGCCAGGGGCTGCAAAAGCAGTCACGCTTGCCTTACGTTACTCAACTCGTAAGTTGTACGGCGACAAGTGGCACAGTTTGAAAATTATGCAACAAAGAAAGGGTTTACAGCAAGAGAGGCTTCACAACCTCAAGGTGGCAGACTATTTGTGTTACCCTGCTAAAACAAACATTTAAAAGGTTCAACGATATCAACATATCTTGCGCTTAGCTCTGTAATCACCATGAGAACGGGTGTCAAATTGACAAGATCTCAGAGTTACTGGCCTTACTCACGAGCTTTCCGATTGGAGGACCAAAAGCGGAAGTTCCACTTCCAGCTTGGGATCTGAATGTAGTGTTACAACACCTCACGAGTGAGGTCTATGAACCCTTGGAATCGACAAACTTTGAATTTCTCTCACAGGAAACATTGTTTCTGCTATCGCTAGCCACAGCAGCAAGAATGTCTGAAATTCGCGGCGCCTGGATTACGAGAGGATACAGTTTGATGACAATCATAACACAGCGCGCACCTCGGATTAAGATGGGATTTCATTGCAAAGAATCAACTGCCAGGTCAACCAGACAGATTATTCCACATCCCGGCTATCCTCTATTCTCGGGATCACAAGATACACAAGACCTATCACTGTGTCCGTAAGAGCTCAAAGTTTATTTACTGACGATCCAAAACAAGGAGAAGATTTCTCAAACGTTTATTCATCCCATTATCGCCACTGAATCAAACAGAAGTGTCACGGACCACAATATCTATTTGGATAAGGACTGTCATTCTCCGTGCCTACAAGGCAGCAGGCTTGGACCCACCAACAGCATCAAATCCATGAGATCAGGGCACTGGCCTCTACCCTCGCCTCTACGGTAACTGTTCCTTGAACACGATTATGGAAGGATGCTATTGGAAATCTAACATGGTATTTGCTAATCACTACCTAAGAGACATCACTACAGAAGATGTCTCTGGCATTCACCATTTCGGACCACTGGTCCTCGCTCAGCAACTGACAGTCCCTCGCAGAGGCGTTAAAATATTAGCCTCACAAGATTAATATGTATTTTATACATACTCATCTAGCTTATAACTCTAAGGAGTTTTAGGGCTATGTATATATGTTCAGCTTAAGTATTCTACCTTAAGCATATACTTGGATATAGTCAATTTCAGTGCCTCTATCAGAGTCACCTATATATATATATATATAATTTATATGTATTGTTCAATATATTCATAATGTAATTCCCTTTAATGGCTTTATATAACCTATGGTTTCTTTATACAGGAAACATCCTAAATCTAAGGCTTCATGAAGTTCCGTAGGGAGATATTACAGTATATCTATACAAAATCACTAATTATAAATCCAAAGTATTCTGTTACCCACCTCCGTTCCGTGGGGATGCTACAAGCAAAGAGCATGAGTCAGGATAAGGAAAAATATGTAATTTTAGAGTAAAATTGATATTTTATACTTATCCTGACTCATGAGGTTAGCCCTCCCATCCTCCCCACATAACACTTTGGATTTCCCTGTAAATTCAAGTGTTGGGCTCGCTAAATCAGGAGAGAGTGGAGCACATGGCCAGAGGGTGGCGACACCTTTTCCCGCCAGGGGAGACAAAGGGGAGCAACTCGTGGTGAGTACCAATTAGTGATTTTATTTTGAAGGGAGCTTCAAATAAGGAGATACAAGTGTTCCACTATGTTCGCAAGAAGAAGAAGACAAGCAAAAGAGCATGAGTCAGGATAAGTATAAAATATCAATTTTACTCTAAAAATTACATTTTTATAACCAGCATACTAAGCAGTGTTTTACCTTGCCCTACAAAACCTGGGGTCCAGACGACTCCCAGTTATCAACCCGTGAAAATAGGGGTTAGAACAAAAAGTCAACCAACCCAGTTGTGGATTCCAAGGGTGCTTGCAGGAAATATGCCAATAACATAATGAAATGGTTGAAGGTACATAACCTATGATTAAGTAATTATTTCAGTCACACAAACCATATATTTCTGTCAAGAATCTGATAAAAAGAATATTGTGCATGCCATGGGACACAATATACTGTAAATCACAAAATATTTGCGAGCATGATATTTTTGGGAAAATTGCAAATGACTCGAGCTCGCAAAAATATCATGACCCAAATTATTATTCACCAGTTGGTATAATCAGCAACATATCGAGACAATACATCAATTAAGCAATGACAACAACTTGGGAGAAGACTAGTACACACGTCAAACAAGGGATACTCGAACAAAAGTTACTCAATCAGTACGTCTGATAGTCCACACAGGCGCCAACCACTCAACACACATTCTGTTTCTTTAAAGAAAGTTTGATAGGCCGACACCATCCAACGGGTGTGGATAGGTTTCATCACACTTATACGGAGATCAACAGCTTTGGTGATGTCATTGTCAACAATTTAATGGAGGCTTTCCAATTAATGTAATCCCTTTGCTCTGTTTTAAGCTTATCTGGCCTGTGCAACATGTGTTGTTTTAGGAAAACATCACTGACTGCGCATTATTACACGAAGTACAGTCAGACCCTCGTTAATCACGAACACTTTGGTTTTTAAAAAAAACCGTTCAGATAGTGAAACGTTCGTACTGCTGAAACCACAGTATATGCACCGAGTTACTTCCCCTTGATATCTTTCCTTACTATCGAGACTCTGAGGTCATAGATGAAGCCTATGTTTATGAAGGAAATTGCCTATGTTTATGAAGGAAATTATAAGCTTGTAAAACGTTATTGCTACTACATCCCATACACCATTTAAAACATCTAATCCTAAAATTATTTTGGAATGAAAATGCAAGCTTACATTTATAACGTCCAGATAAACCACGAAAGAAGCAAAAACTATGGCGATTTTTTTTCCGTTTGTGACATGTCATAACGTGCCCGTGCCTTTTTCTTTTATATTTTCATTTTTACGTCATCAGAAAATTATTATAAAGAGATTTCTTAAATAATATGTATGGTCGCCTATTTCCCGATATCTGTGGCCTTCCGCTCGGTAACATGACATAACAACGGAAAATACCTCCGTTTTCGAAGCATCGTATGAATAACATGGGAGGCGAATCGTTTGATGTCGGGTATCGTTCGAAAGCTCTGAACATCAACAACATCACTGAACCCTTGCCGAGAGTATTTTCACAGTTGTAAGAAGCGATTTTATTGGATAAAAATTGGTTTCTAATGACGCTTTTTCCGCTACAGTCTGCTATAAGGGTCGTGATTGGTCAAAATCAGACATGTGACCTAAGGCAGCCAATCATATTACGGCAATGGATACCGTCCTCGTAAACGAAAACTTTTAGATTTAGACGAAAGTTTTGGGTAAAATAATTTTGGGTTTATAATAGTTTATCATTTTAATTCGTGTTGAAACGGTACCGAGCATATATTTCTTGATTGAAGTCTTTACCAAAACAGCGTGGTCGTCGAAATTTCCCTATCACTTATGATAAAGGGATCAAAGGGATGAGTCGCTAAGTCGCTAAACAAACAACGTGTCACTTTGGGTGGACCAGTCAGCAGCGCGGTTAACTTCAATCGTTCGGATTAACGCAGCTGTTTACAACTTAATTAGTCCAATCCGTTCTGACTGACCAGCGTTCGGAGGCGGAAACTGAATCATCGGACTAACGAGGTGTCAATTATATACAATATATAGGGAGATGATTTGGTGCCCAGTGAGTAGCGTTAGCGAAGTCGGTGTATTCGGATTAACGAGGACCGGATTACCGCGGCCTGACTGTACACTACTGAGCTCAGTTCAAGATTAGCGGCCACCTTTAATATGTAATTGGATTTACAGTAGGTAGAACTATCAGTTGCAATCTAGTTTTGAGAAAATATCAAAAGCGCCTGTTGAGTCGGTACCGCGCCAAAACATTGTGACGCAAATTTTGGTGATTTACAGTATATGTTTTCTGTGACCTTTTTTACGTTTGTACATATACCGCATGCACGCGAACTCTTCTGCATTAAGGTTAAACCCTGCCATGTATCCTATAGTTGGCGTGAAGTCATAAAGTGCATTTTTCTTTGTTCCAGCCTATTACAATGACATAGTTATAGGAGCAGTGTGTTGTCGGATCGACACGTCCGAGAACCAGCTTAAGACTTTACATAATGACCCTGGGCTGTCTACAGCCCTACAGGAGACTGGGCATAGGTAAGTCTTTCCTTCTCGGGAACATCGACTCCTTGGCCAAGTGGATGGAGTGTCTGCCTGGAGAACAGAGGTCGGTGTTTTGATCCCAGACTGTCTAATACAGATGCTTAAAGATGGTGGGGCAGCAGCCCGGTGGTTAAAGTGTTTGCTTGTCACATGTTCAATTCCCCACATGGGTACAATGTGTGAATCCCATTTCTGGTGTCCCCTTGATATTGCTGGAATATTCTAATAGTGGCATGAAACAGTAGTTATAAGCACAGTGATGCGAAAACTAAAAATATGATACGAAACTAAAAATAATCACTCCGGCTTTGTCTGTTACTTCTGTCACTTGAGGTTCATACATTTCATTGTGAGGTTTATAGCTATATAGGTTCACATAACAGTACTTTGAGTTGATCTGTAGCACGATATTATGGCTGGATGTATATTTTTGTTTTAAGTTTTATTAAAAGTTTTCAACTTAAGTATCACTGTTTGTGCTTAATAACGTAGGTTTTACAAACCCAACTCACTCACTCACTAAAAGATGATACTTATTGTTACCCTGCCTTGCCTGGCAGAAGGGGATAAAACCAGGACTGGTCGCCTTGGAGTCGGTATTCTGTGCCAGAGTGGGGGTCTAAGTTAAACTGAGACATGGTAGTGGGCTATGGGATCATGGGAGATTAGTACAAGTTGATCACAGTATGTTCTTGTACTCCAAAGAGGCTGATCATTACTCGGGATATGAATCAACATTGTCTGTCTAGTCTCGATTATTTACAGGCAGCTGTTATTCAGCTGGAATATTAATGAATGTCATGTTAAACAACTAGCAAACATCATCAAAATCAGTTACTAATTTGAAATTCAAAAGGAACAACATGTTCAAATATGTCAAGGACTAGAAGTGTCAACTGTCTAGAAGTGTGCACAAATCATTCAATTACACACACACACACACACACACACACACACCACGAATCAATGATTGTGGGTTTGAATTCTGGTATACATGAAGATCTGGGCTAGAATTGATCTTCAGCAACCCATGCTTGTCGTAAGAGACCACTAACGACATCGCATGGTCAGGTTCGCTGACTTGGTTGACACATGTCATTGTATCCCAATTGCTTAGATCGATGCTCATGCTGTTGATCACTGGATGGTTTGGTCAAGACTGGATTTACAACCAACCGCCATATAGCTGGAATATTGCTTAGTGTCTAGGTTGTCGGGGGGCGGTGGGGTAGCCTAGTGGTTAAAGCGTTCGCTCGTCCCAAATGGATACCATATGTGAAACCCATTTCTGGTGTCCCCGGCTGTGATATTGCTGGAATATTGCTAGAAGCGGCTCAAAACCAAACTCACTCACTCTAGGTTGTCAGCTTTCACCAAAGTGGTAAATGTCTGAGATATGTATCATTTTGAACATCCCTCCACTTTAAGCTTATATAACTGGAATACTGTTCCAAGTGGTGTTAGACCCGTGAAGGTCCGGGTTAGAATATTGATCTTCAGTAACCCATGCTTGTCGTAAGAGGCGACTAACGGGATCATGTGGTCAGGCTCAGTGACTGGGTTGACACATGTCATCGGTTCCCAATATGCGCAGATCGTTTGCGCATGCTGTTGATCACTGGATTGTCTGGTCCAGATTCGATTATTTACAGACCGCTGCCATATAGCTGGAATATTGCTGAGTGCGGCGTAAAACTAAACTCACTCACTCACTCCAAGTGGTGTTAAACCCAACTCTCTCTTCTCCATTATTTGAGGCCATCTATATACAGGAGATGTCGTAATGTGTTTCAGGGACGGTCATGCTGCAGCATGTTCTCAGGATATGTGACAAAGATGCAAACTTTGACAATGTATTTCTGTAAGTATTCCGAGGGGGGGGGGGGTGTTTCTCACCACAACATTCTTATACTGGGTATGGTGGTTGCTTGCTGTGTGTGCAGTGTACACAACAGTGATAGAAGCCATACCTAGCTACAGTAGAAACCATGTTATCCTTGTTTAAGTAAATGCCGAGTTTGTTAGAAAATAATGGATGTTTTCTAATGCTCTTTAACCCATCTGTTGGTTATCCCCCGCAACGCATTTTGCGGGGGGTATTAAAATGGATTCCGTCCGTGCATGCGTGCGTGCGTGCATCCGTCCTTACTCAGCTTATTTTAACAGCCCATCTGTTGAAGCGTGGTCGAATGCACAATTGGGAGTTTTAACAAAGTGTCTCAGAGATGCCAACCCATACGATTTTATGGTATTCATTACGAAAAAACAACACAATACGTGACTACAATAGCAGTAAAAATATACAATTTTTTTTAAAATAATGCATTAAATTAAATTATCAAATAGCATACGTACCATACACAATAAATTTCAACCACATTTAATTCAGTATCAAGCTATATGTGTATAATTGCTACTGGTTTAGGTGAGTACAATGTTAATAACAAGGTCTTAGACTATATATTTACATTTTTTATTCAATATGAAAATTCTTTGTAAACGTTAATAGTAATACTAATTTTGGCCAAAAAATAATAATTCTTGCATCAGGTTTTTGCCAAAATACTAATTGGGCTAAATTAGGGTTGGCATCTGTGAGTGTCAGCGTCCCTTTGCTGCGTTACCTGGATAGTGTATTTGTTTCAATAATGTCTCACTTGACAATTTTGTTGGCCACAACAACAGTCACTGGAATGTCTGGTCCAGACTCAACATTGTACAGACTGTTGTCATATAACTGTAATATTGAGGAGTGGGGCTTTACTCAACAAATGAACAAACACGGCAAGAAAATGCCACGGGCTTGTTGGTCATCATTTCACCCATTATGTATTCAATTCAACCTTCAAGGCTGGCGGACGGCCTCCGTGGTGTAGTGGTTAGAGCGTCCCCTCGGAGAGCGGAAGGCCGTGGGTTCAATCCCCGACCGCGTCATACCAAAAGATGTTAAAATATGGTACTTGTTGGTCCCTGCCTGACGCTCGGCATTAATGGGTACAACAAGGACTGGTCGGCTCGGAGTCAGTATAATGTGTCTGAGTGGGGTATTCATGCTTCACTGCGGCATGGTATCTCAGTGGGCTAGCACTATAAAACCAGCTTCAGTCTGGGCTAGTACAAGCAGCCGCACATACACATACACACGCATGCACGTCGTCATATGAGCGAAATATTCTCAAGCACGACGTTAAACCCAATTTCACCTCACCTCACTTCAAGGCTGGCCTGTGGCAGTTGGGTAGCCTAGTGGTTAAAGCGTTTGCTCGTCATGCCAAACACCAGGCCCTGATTTCTCGAAACAAACTTAGTTTTTACTCAAATTTCAAACTGAGTTTGACAATTTGAAACAGCTGAATGTTTAACTCAACTGCATTTTGAAAATACAAAAGCCGAAATAACTTTAGTAATCTATCCACCAAACTCAAATTGTCTACCATGTTTGAGTTTAATGTCGATTTCAGTTCATTCTGGGAAATACATTTTCTCAAATTTGAGTAAAAACTCTAACTTAAGTTAAACCTCAGAAGTTTGTTTCAAGAAATCGGGGCCAGGGTTCGATTCCCCACGTGAGTACAATGTGTGAAACCCATTTCTGGTGTCACCCGCCGTGATATTGCTGGAATATTGCTAAACGTGGCATAAAACCATACTCACTCACTCATGGCTGGCCCAGTTGTCTAAGGACTGCACTTAGCTGTGCCAGTACTCTTAAGTATGTCAGAACCTATGATCATGGGTTCAAATCCTTCTTTGACAAATTACATTTAAAAGTTTGACCACACCATGCTTGTAGGTTTCACCAAATCAGTAAACATCTATGATGTGCATCTCTCAAGTTGATTCTCGCATTGAATAGAGGGGCGGTGGGGTAGCCTAGTGGTTAAAGCGTTGGCTCGTCACGCCAAGGACCCGGGTTCGAATCCCCACATGGGTACAATGTGTGAAGCCCATTTCTGGTGTCCCTCGCCGTGATGTTGCTGGAATATTGCTAAAAGCGGCGTAAAACCAAAACTCAGTCAGTCAGTCAGTCACATTGAATAGTGTGACCTCACAGTATTACCAGTTCACCTTTCAAACAATATGTATTGCAATGTTTTTTTCTCAGAACCGATATATTGGATAATAAATATATAGGAAATTTTGTGATTATCTGTATTGCATAAGTTAAATTTTACACTTCCATTCGCACTTATGTTTTCCATTACAATTAATTGATAAAACAGCATACTTTTCATGCAACAAATTTTATATAAAAGAAAATTCAGTCCCTCAAAATCAAATCTAAATTCGAAATGTCTGTTTTCACAACCATTACATTTGTTTTTAGGACTATAGTATGTAGAAAATAGGCTCTGCATGTACAATAAACCTCCCTCACCTCACCTTCAAACACTGATATATTGCAATACGTATCAGAGTACGGGTACCAGAATCACAATACAGTGAGACCCCAGATACCCAGACCCCAAATATCCGGAAACATCGATTGCCGGTCAATTATCATATAAAACCAATCTCTTACGTTATTAAAGTGACTGTCTATAACTGATATGCGGTTTCCTTTCCCGGACAGTAAATTTTACAAACCAACCGCACTTATCCGCACGAAGGTTTCATCTTCCGCGGACGAAGTGAAGCGCGAGTGTCCCACGTGTCTTGACATGAGACATGGTCTGCTAATCCGGATTAATGCTCGATCAGTGGGGTATTGGTGGTGTTTAGTAGGCCTATCTGACACAGTGAATAGTACTGTAAACGTACTTATTTTCGCGTGGTGCAATTTTCTCGGAATTGACAGTTTAGACTACATCGCGCGGTCAATTATTCGCGCAATCAGTAATTGCCGGAACTGCCAGCTGTCTCTTTGGCTGCCACTAATAGCAGTGAAAACAAACAGAGTGGCTTAACCTGTCAGGCGGCGTTTATTGCTTACTCACAGGAAATCCCTATCTGTGCGATATACTAGTACACAGTAATCCGTTTACTCCCGGAAGAGATGAAAAACACATCAGTCTTATGTTCCGAATTCTGACGATTTGACGAATTAACTTATACTGTATATGAAGCTCTTTGTGATTTCAAACAAGCCAGGTTGTTGTGAATGAGATGATTGAGTGTTAGTGACTTTTTGCTTCATGATGTACTGGTGAATAAAATCTTAATGAATAAATAAAATACTGCTGTATTATTTCTTTCCGAGTTGTTTCACGGTAATCTGTTTTGTATCAAACCATGTCATGTGACCAATTTCCATGGCGTCCACATCACACATTGCTGTTTTCGCTAATTCGGCAATGGGATTTGGCTCATTATTTAATTATGTTTTGGGAAATCCATTACAGCGACAGTTAAGTATGATCAGTCGTCATTTTAAGATTCCCGTTGATTTCTGTCTTCAAACGTGATGTGTTATGGTAACAACTCAGGGGCGAGCTTGGCTAGACTGAATGAATGACAGGTTTATTCGCGGTGTATAAATTTTCGCGCTAAAATGTTTTGCACGAAAAGCATGAAAATAAAACCTGCGCGAAATATAATACGTTTACAGTATCTGGCAAATCAAAACGACCATGCTGTTTTGGAAGAGATTCTAAACCAGAAGTGTATGCTATCTACTGTTTCAACACCTAAGCCTGGATGACATAAATCCAGAGCCAGACCAATTTTATTTCTTGTTTTACGGATTTTTGTCCTCAGAAAACCTAAAGGCAGGAGGGAAAAATAAAAATAAATAAATACTAAAAGTATTTTACATTTGGCAATTTATGAAGTGTATATGGGGCAAAACACAATCCCCCAAAAAACTTTTCTTGTAAATTTACAGTTTTGACCAATAAAACATTAGGATTTTATTTTTTGAGTGGGGAAATATTTTTTCAATTTTCTTGAAAAAATATGACCTGCAGATCCGTAAAACAAGAAATAAAATTGGTCTGGCCTAAGCGCAGTATATTGAAATACAATTATTTGCCAATACACAGCCCTATCGAAATAGTCACTTTGATTAAACCCAACTCCCTTACTCACTCACTTATTCACTTATTCGTATCTTGTATGTTTTCAGACATGTACAAATAAACAACGATGGTGCGATTAGATTCTATGAAAAGTTTGGGTTTGAAATTGTGGAAGAAAAACAAAACTATTACAAGCGAATAGAGCCAGCGGACGCCTATGTGTTACAGAAGTCCTTTCGTGTAACGAACAACAACAATCAGCCAGCTAGTGAGGAGACTACGTCCAATAACACAGATATGATGGAGTCCTGAATATATTCACCATGGATCATGATGACACTTGAATTCCTGATGTTACAAAGACATTTTTTGAATGTGAGAATATAGATTTGAAGTGCTTTAAACTTACTAGTTCTTCAACAGAACAAAGCTGTTGGTCTTGTAGTCCTTTGTTACGAAGTTCCAAAATGTGGGATATTCATCTGACATTGGGACAAGACGGGGTGCTTTTATTGTTCTTCAGTCAGAACTGAAACTGAAGCTTTCAGTTTACATAAATCATTGTTTTTAAGTCCCAATTGATGTCCAGTGGGTTCCTTATAGACGAATACTAAATGAAACGTTCCATTGTGTGATCTACAAAGGTACAGTCGTTGATTGGTGTTAAAGTTGATCATGATGGCAAATTTGTCGAAGCGCCACGATTCCATGTGAAATGTTGCTTTCGACATGGTTTAATGCATCAGAAATGTAATGATCGAGGGATCTGTTGTTTCTTGGTTGAATTTGTGTTTTTAACCAAAGTGGCTTTAATCCCTCAAAAAAGCTTTCACTTGATAATGTAGCTGAAATATGGTACAACTTTGTCACGATTGTGTCCATGTTAAGTTAATTGTAACGCTCAGATTACTCTGTGGAGGGGAGCACAGGGTCTTGGGTACTGGAGGAATTGGGTTGACTATCATCTTTCAACTCTTGTCATAACACAGTCACTATCATAAGTTTGAATAATTAATTTTTGGTTGAATTCATTTTTTTTTTAGTGAGCTAATCTCTATCTTATAGATTTCATTTCTTTGTGGTAAATATTTTCAAAATATGTTTTGAGAAATCTGTTCTTACTCACAATATTTCACTCTTTTTTTCTGATGTAAGTACTGTGAATGAAAAGATAGAGACAAGTGATACTTGTAATACCAACTTCCACGCATGGTAGGACAGACAACACAAAGGTGGCCATGGTCTTCTTGTCTGGAGTTTATGGCATCATTATCTCCCTTTGTAAGGGAGTAACTCTGTGTGGAAGCTGAAAGGTGTAAGCTGAGATACGACTTGGAGAATTTGCTGTTTGTGTGTGTGGCTGACTGTAGTTTAACAACAGTTGGGGTTAAGCATAATTTGAAGATGGAATATGAATAATGGTTCAGATTTCTTTGATGAGGCATCAGATATTTCAACTTGTTACCATGATGACAAAGAAAAATGACTACAAATGAAGCCACTGAAATTGTTTTTAAAATGACAAAACGAAAAAAATTAATAAATTGCAATTATATAAATGTTTATCACTGCTGAAACATCTGTCTGACATATTTCTGACATTCGAATAGATATACTTCATAACAGGCTTACACAGAAACTCGTGAAAGAGTAAGTAAGCACTAATCACGAATTGATGTCATTACTTTTCCACAGCCAATGGTGAGCTTGAATATTGACTGCTAGTTGCTGTACAAATATATAAATGCCATTTTATTTGGAGTAAAGTGTCCAAACTGGGGATGGCATCTCTGAAATAGTCCCTTTTGGTTAAATGACACACACTTTATGTAATGACAAAAGGGAAAGATGTGCTGGACCTGTTTAAGTAGTCTGTTGTCCATGGAGCGTGCAAAATATATAGAAATGTACATAAATCTGCCGATTGCTGTCATTGTGTCTTAATCTACATTGTATATAAACCATTTACAGGGTTATGTTTCAGTGTTATTCTTTAGTTCAGCAACCAGTGAATATCCGGGTGTTGGAATTGGTCTTCGGCAACAAATGCTTGTCCAAAGGGATCAGCTGGTTGACACATGTCATCGTATCCCAGTTGTGTAGATTGAAGCTCATGCTGTTGATCACTGGATTGTCTGGACCAGACACATATTATTTACACACTGCCGCCATATATACTCCTCACAAAAAGTTAAGCAACACAAATGTTTAGTCTCATTACATTTTCATTTATTGAAATTGCAAATCATGGAATGATGCAATAGAATGGTGAAACATATGTACACATGATTAACAAAATGTAGTTAAATGGTATTGAGCAATAATAGACTTACAAATCATCAAAAGCATGTACCCGTGAAACAGTCGTGCAAAATGTGCTGCACTGATGGAGCAAAATGTTAACATTCAAGTTCAAGTCAGTTTTGGACAGAAGCAGTGTTCAGTAAGACATATGACCACCATGAGCACAAATGCAAGCTTCTACACATCTTTGCGTTGACCAAATGAGCCTTTAAAGTTGCTGTTGTGGAATGTTCTGCCATTCTCTCTGTACCGCCTGCTCAAGGTCATCCAGAGTCTACGGGTTGAACATCAAGACCCTAAACACAACTTACAATAATGTCCCAAGCATGTTCAATGGGATTAAAATCAAGTGAGCTTGCAGGTCAGTTCCATATGTGTGATGATGTTGATCTAAACAACTTCATTTACAACTCTTTCTCAGGCATTATTCCAAGGACGGGCATGGAGGTTTAGGACCCGCTTGTTGTTCCAGAGGAATGATTACAGGTAGGTTCACACCGATCAGGGTGCATCTGTTGAAAGCGGAGCACATTCATGCCACATATTTTGCAAGTTGTTTCTGAGAGTGGATGTGTTCGGGTGATGATGTCAATGTTATCAGATAAATCAATGTGACAGTCACTAAAGGTTATGTATTCTTTGAATATTTAGCTTTCGCTATCGAGATTGATAAAGATATTAAACTGAAAATACTTGTTGCTTAATTTTTTGTGAGGAGTATAGCTTGAATATTGCTGAGTGGTCGTTTAACAACAAACATACAGAACATAATGCTCGGCTCGAGTTTTTCTGGAATATAAGATTTGATTAGAGGGATGTTGCAGGGAATACTGGCAAACAAGGATAAGTTGAGCACCGACCTGACAACTGACCCGTATTAACATGGCAACATTATTCTTGACATTGGCCCATATCAACTGCGTTCAAATCTGCATGGTACGGAGGTAACCGCAGAACGACATGCCCATGTTACTACAGTATGGTAGCTACGCGATATACGGGACCGGCTTTGTTAGATTTGGCAAGAAACAACAGTTCGGCTTTGAACATTTTGTCATTGAACGCAATATCGTGCCTTTTTAGCCAAGCTTTGATGTCATCCTTCCTATTGGTGGTTGTTGGGCATTTGTCAACTTGCTTGCCATGGAGTGGAGCGTTGTCCATAACAATAACGGAGTTGGGTGGAATATGGGGTATCAATTTTTCACTCAACTATTATGAGGAATTCTCAAAATTCATCTCATCGTGATAAATCTGCCGTTTTGAGTTTAGCCTCAAATATTTGCAGTACATTTGGCACAAATCCGTTCTCAGAACCTGCATGCACTACTATCAGCCGAGATCCAGACCCAGACGGTGGTCGAACCCCACCTATATCCATGTCACCCTCCAGTTGCCAACATTTTGGGACAGTGTGGTGCACATGTAACCACCTTTCATCAATAAAGATGATTGGCCGGTTTTAGCTCGGTATTTTAATTGCTCGTAAGTTATTACATTCGTTTTGGCAACTATATCTTTCCTTTCCATCAGTAGCTTGCGATTTTACTTCGTTTTGTGCCATCTCAATCCCATTTGCTTCAGAGTTAACCGTAAACATTCTCGAGAACCCGTATAATTGAGATCTGTTTTGACCATCTCATGGATACTGTCAAGGGTTGGCAGTTGTTTCACACTACATATGAGTTTTGCACAAACTGGCGAATGTGCACTGGTTGAAATCATCGAGTTGGGATTTAATCACAGGACGATTTCGCGACTTGCTTGGGCTAACGAAACTACTCTGCCCCACTATCACGATCGACACCTGCTCGGATGCGCCTAAGTGAAGAGAGAGAGAAGAAGAAGAAGAAGAAGAAACTTAGTTTATTTTACCGTGTCACACATTCTCCAGATATAAAAATACATTTCATCGACAAGTTGTAGAAACTATCCGGCCTATTCAGGCCAACGAGACACGATTATACATTAAAATTGCGTTCAAATATATAAACAAAATCATAAAATATTTGGCAATATTACCAAGATTATGATACATAAAATACAGAACACTTGCACAGAACAGTTGCACAGAACAGTTGCACCTTGTGGATGGGTAAAGCATTATTATCACCATATTATTATTATTACCTTGACTGAATGCAATTACGATGTTTAAGACGACGTTCATACATATTGAAAACCCTGCGGTTAAAGGGTTACAGTTAAAATTATCTTTCATTATAGCAGTGAAGAGAGATAAACCGGTGGCATAGCTTGTTTTTAACAGTGCCTGTTTCGAAGATGTACATTCTTTGTCCATGAGACCGCCTCCGTGGTGTAGTGGTTAGAGCGTCCGCCCGGAGAGCGGAAGGTCGCGGGTTCGATCCCCGACCGCGTCATACCAAAAAGGCGTTAAAATATGGTACTTGTTGGTCCCTGCCTGGCGCTCAGCATCAATGGTTACAACAAGTACTGGTCGGCTCGGAGTCATATGAGCGAAATATTCTGCAGCGCGACGTTAAACCCAATTTCACCTCACCTCATCTTTCTCCATGTACTTAATAACATTGTATGCCACTTCTCGGGTATGAGAATGTATTATCTGACCGTGCTTAATTCTCTCGAAATATATATCCATATATCCGAATATTACCGACTTGCTACACCGTCCACGCGAGAGTCTTATGAGCAAGGCGTGTGCAGCTACGCGCGGAATCCGTGTGCACCGCCAACTTCTCGTAAACGCGTTCTCTGCGCTGGTCCAACTTATCCTTGTTTGCCAGTAGAAGCAGGACGAATGAACTAAACAGACAAGCTCACAATATGCACATTGTATTTCTTAATGGTGAATAACCAGGTTATACTTGGTCATCAGCATCCCATGCATGTCGTAAGAGGCGAACCGCCTCCGTGGTGTAGTGGTTAGAGCGTCCGCCAGGAGAGCGGAAGGTCGCGGGTTCGATCCCCTGACCGCGTCATACCAAAAGATGTTGGTAATATGGTACTTGTTGGTCCCTGCCTGGCGCTCGGCATTAATGGGTACAACAAGGACTGGTCGGCTCAGAGTCAGTATAATGTGTCTGAGGCGGGGTATCTCATGCTTCACTGCGGCATGGTATCTGACTGGGCTAGCACTATAAAACCAGCTTCAGTCTGGGCTAGTACAAGCAGCCGCATATACACATATACACGCATGCACGCCGTCATATGAGCGAAATATTCTCAAGCACGACG